TTTTTTTCTTTTCTGGTTAGCAAAATTCAAAAAATAAAATAAAATAAAATCAAGAACAATATCTCTTCGGCCAAAAACCTAGAAGAATACTTTTTATACGACAAAACAATCATGCTTAAAGTTGTTAAAGAAAGACAAAGAAAAAAAGAAAACTGTAATTTTTAAATGCATTCTCATGAAATATAATGAAGAATAAATTTATTTCGAAGAAAAATTTAAAAATTGGCAATATTGATCTTACAAAAAGTTTGATAAACCTTGCTCACCATTTAATTCTCAGAAATGAATTTATCTATAATTTTCTCAGGAAGTCAAAGGTAATAAGATGGTTTCCTTCCTTCAAAAACTTCTACAAAGCCTTTGAGGCATTCTTTATATTTGTTTATTATCTCTTACGAAGGCACGTATTTCTAAAAGAGGAATAATTAGATTAAGTTTTAGAATAGTGATTTTTCATTCACACAAAAATGATATCTACTGTGTGGTCTTGTGCTGTTTTGTGAAATTAAATACATTAATTGTTTGGTTATGAACTATTGTGATAACATTATAACTAAAATTACATGATTTTTACCAATAAGTTGTTAGCATAGTAGTAAGCAAACTGATTTTTAAATGAATTTTCTATTAACATGTAGGCTTCAAATTCACGAGTCGCATTGATTAGGAGGGGGTTAAACTTTGCTGTTCTAATTCCGGATATAATTAGTTCTATCTCCAATGTGAGATGAAGATATATAAGTACAAAAAAAAAAAAAACCACTCACATAACTGTTTTTTTTAGATTTTTATTAAAAAAAAAAAACTAAAATAATTTATTTTAGAATAATTTTTAAAATAATATGCATCTATCAATATGCATGAGTCGAACTGATCTTTAAATAAATTTTCTATCAATATGAAAGATTCAAATTCACGAGTCGCAACTTTATCGTTTCAATTCCGGATAGAATTAGTTCTATCTCTAATATGAGATGAGAATATAAGTAAAAAAAAAAACACTCACATAACTGTTTTTTTAGGTTTTTAGTAAAAAAAAAAAACTAAAATAATTTATTTTAGAATAATTTTTAAAATAATATACGTTCAAAAAAAAGTATAAGGAATTAGAACATTACATATGGTTTTTTTTTTTAAATAAGAATATTATATAATTTAATGACTACTTTCATTGATAAGCAAAGTAAAAAAGAAAAAGAATTAATACATTACATAAGTTCGTTTTGTAATAGATATAAATAATGTATAATTTAATTAACATCCGTACATGTACTGGTAATATTTTTTTATTAAGATTTTTTTAAAAAAATTATTTTGTTTCGTAGCTGAAATAAGCAATCTTTTGTTTTGAAAAGCATCACTTCCTATGTTTTTTTTTAAAGTAAAAGCTAATTGTTTTTAAGTGGAATCACCTTCTTCTTCTTAAGTTAAACAACGGAATACTAAAATCTTTACCAAACACTTATTTGATGCTTTTAGTTGCTTTTGTTTTAAAACAAAATAGGTAAAAGTTAAAAAAAAAAGGAAAAATAAACTTTTTGAAGAAAAACATACATAGATAAAAGAAAAAATCGCTATCAAATAAAAATATTCCACTTAATTAACTACTTTGAAAATATTCTAAAATTTCTGGATAAATATAACCCATTTAACGCAATCAAAAAGTAAGGAAAAAAAAAATCATGATCAAATAGATCTGAGTAAAGTATGGACTTACCTTCTTGTTTGGGCCTAGTGTACTTGGGCTAATTGCCTAATGCCCATCTCAGCCTGTTATTTTCACTGGTCATTTTAACGATAAAAAAAAAATTAATTATTTCTCTTTGTTTTCAAAAATAACTATTTAGTTCTTATATTTTTAAATTTTCTTTTAATTTAATTTTTATTTATTCATTTTGATTTAAAAAATAGATAAATAAATGGTAGGCTTGATGAGAAAATATGATATTTTTTTAAAAATCAAATAATATTAAATTAAGTAGAACTAAATGATTAGTTTATAAAATAAGTCGAAGTATATGTTACTTGAAATTATTACTGAAAGATTATTGTTTATAACGTCATATGCGTCATACGGACTGAAAAGAAAAGGCATTGCTTGCTAATGTGATGTATATGGCATAAAATGCTTTCATTTAAGAAATAAGATTTCAAAATAATACTTTTTTCAAGAAAAAACACATTATTGCAACAAGAATAAATTATTTGTTTATCCTTGCATATAGTGAGGATTCCAACTCTGCCTTCGTATGCTCTCTATGGTAGGAAAAAAATTGAATATTATTCGAGGGAATTAAATATCTAATTAAATAACTTTAATGGATTGGTTTGTTAGCTAAGGAGATTTCTTTATTTTACAATTTTGTGTTTTAGTATTTTTTTTATGTTAATAGTTAAGTAATAGGTATTAATAGGATAAAAAGAAAGTACTTATATTTATGAATTAATTATCCATTAATATAAATAGATAATATTATTTTACCTAACCCATTATTCATTAGAGTATTTTTAAATAATAATTAATGCACGGATGAGGCATATTACTTACTTTGAACTCGGCTCATTGTAATATATATATATATATAAGGATACAAGATGATTTTTTGAATTTCAATCTTAGAGTCAGTATTTATACAAGTTTATTAAATTTTTTAAATGCATATTATATTGTGAAATTGTGAATATGTCTTATTGAAGTTTCTTCAAAATTCATTGAAGTAACAATCATAGCATGTTTTTGTATTTTAGTTTTTTTAATCAAACAAAGGCTAGAATATATGTTTCAGCAATTTTTTCATGTAATTATTTAACATCAAAAAATAATTTTTTGAAAAATAACTTATTGAAAAATATTTTTTAAAAAATTGAATTTTCTATTAAAAAGTAGTTTTCTATCAAATAAACGGAGTTTAAATAGCTTCATAATTAAGCAACCTAATAACCCATTATGCAAGAACCCAAACCACATCCATAGAGACAATGCCACGACCATACCTTTGTATTGTTCAACTATTTTTGTGATAAAATACAATTTTGACTGATCCAAAATAGGGAGACAAAAGTCGTTGGATCCCTTCCATGTAATAGAAAATGCATTTATCATCCCTGACTGGATAAGAAAAGCCAAACGGATTCTACGAATTTGGGCCTCATTTTATCCGAATTTGACCTACCCCATGGGATAGTAGTCCAGTGAAAGAAGACCATTAGCACACATTAAAGAAGTCTTTTTTTTTTTTTTTTTCAAACCTCAAATATGACTCCAATTATATAAGTTCCAAGTTAGTTTCTAAGCAAATTTTTGTATCAAATATTTTCTCAAAATGTCAAAAATTCTCGTTTAAGTCTTTCCATCTATAATTTTTGATAACAAATTCTATCTAAATTGTATTTTTTTAGAAAAAATCAACATTACTTTATAAAAAATTTAACGTTTTCAATTACGAAATTTTAACAAAATGATAGAATTGAAAAATCTAAATTATAATCGAAATAACTTGATAAATAGTTTAGCTTCAAAGTTGGTATTACCCTATAATTGAGAGATATATTTGAACTTTGTCTTTCTATTTTTTTTTTAAAAAAAATGAAAGACTTTTGGTTATGCCTAGCTCAAACATAGAGTGAATTATAAATCAATTCCTTTTGTTTTAAAAAATAAATTAATTAGTCTCTCTTATTTTTAAAACTAATCATTTGATCTAATTATTTTTTTTATCAGTTTTTCATGAAATTATTGATTTTTTTTAATTGTCCTTCATTTGATGTTTTTATTTTCTCTTCTTTACTCATTTCATTTATCTCTCTCAACTAAAAAAGGACAATTAGGGATAATTTTTTTTCTAATTTAATAAAAAAAAACTGATGAAATGACTAAATTATTAACTAAATTAAAATATAAAAGACTTAATTGATTAGTTTTTGAAAAAAATGAGACTAATTAATTTATTTCTCTAAACAAAAGGGACTAATTTATAATTTACTCCTCAAACATGAGCCCATCAAGAAGAAACCTTATTTATCGATCTACGTCCACCGTCATCGTATCTATCTTACATATATGGTCCCAATTATTCAGTTTTCAAAAAATATCTTAAAATCATCGAATTTTAAAAACCTTATCAAAGACTAAGATGGTATCAGAATGTAATTACCGTAAAAAAACAAAAAAAAAAAGGGATACTAAAATCATCTAGGGCCCACCACTTGTAATGATGAGTGGAAACACAAATCGATGATCATCATGGGCCCACAAAACTACAAGCCCTCAATCGGAGGAATGCAAAAGATCCTTGATGAAGAGAAGAAGGTAGAGCCTTGGAAATTTTCCAAACATATAAAAACCAAGATCAGCCAATCCAAAGGTTCAAAATCCTAACTTTCCCTTCCTCTTCAACACCGAAGAAACAAACTGCACAATCTCTTATCACCCTACTGACCCTTTTATCCTTCTCTCTCTAAATTGTAAGTCAGCTCTAAATCAACGCTCTCTCTGTAGATATCTTTTTTGTGGATATATATTTATATGCCAGCGTTTTTAGGGTTCTTTAATTTTGTTTATAAAACAAAAAAACAGATAAAAGTTTCAATTTTTGAGTGAAAAACTCAAACTTTATCATTATCCTGATGACAAAATAGAGGGAAAACGAGGAAGACCTTTTTTTTAAGTTTAAAGTTTTACTTTCGACAACCTTAAAAAAACCAACGGAACAGTAAGTTCATGTCTTGTACTCTTTTTTAGTTTGATGGTTGTGAATTTAAGGATGCTTTGAATAGATTGTCTTTTTCTTTTCTTTTTTTTCAGTTTGATTGCTTAATTCAGTTATGTTTGCCATTTGGTTTCTGGGTTATTAGTTTTTTTTTGTAGAGTTTGATGTATTTTTGGCATGTGTTGTTTTGTTTTGCAGTGAAATTCTATCAAGTGGGGTTATAAGGATTGTGGTCTGCTTCCATGTTTTTAAAAAAAGGGTTTGTGCCATTTTTAGTTATTTTTTGAGGATATGGCATCATCACATAGTACACACACCGAGGCTGCAAAAATGGAACAAATTATCACTGAATTTTTTCCTAAAAGTCTTCAGATTATACTTGAGTCTAGGTATCCGTTCATGTCATCGCGTAATTATAGTGGTGAACAAATGGTATCCACATCTCCGTCTTCATCTTCATCCTCCTCCTCGAATGTGAGGCCGAGAGATAAATGGTTCAATTTAGCACTGAGGGAATGCCCTGCTGCACTTGATCTTTGGCACCAAAGCTATTTGGAGCCGATGATTGTTGATGTGATTTTGGTGCAGAGGCCACCAATTGGGTGGGATCCTGTGAGCTATTCCCCCAAAAGGGAGATTGTTAGGAATTTTTCTTCGAAGGATCAGTGTCCATTTAATTGGAATTCTGATCAGGAGGAATTGTTGTGTGAGGGTAAGAATGAAAAGATTGTAGAGAGGTGGGTAGTGCAGTATGAGGGACGGAAGTCAAGGGATAGTGGTTCTGGGTGTAGGAGACTTAACAATACCTTGCAAATATGTTATAAGAAATCAATATTACTTTTGAGGTCTTTGTATGCAACTGTTAGGCTTTTACCTGCTTATAAGATATTCCGTGACCTCAATTCATCTGGGCAAATTCATGCATATACACTTACACATAGGGTGTCTTCTTTTGTCGAGCCCTTCACACGAAAAGAAGAGGCTGAAATGCAGCGATTTGTATTCACCCCTGTGGATACATCCTGTGGCAGGCTTTGCCTTTCGGTGCTGTATCGCTCATCAGTATCGGATGTCAGCTCTGAGTCGTCAACTCCTATGTCCCCCCAATTTATCCCTGATTATGTTGGGAGCCCATTGGCGGAACCACTGAAGAGATTCCCCTCTCTTCCCGTGTCACATGGTTCTCCATCATCTTTGCCATTCTCAAGACGACATAGTTGGAGTTACGACCTTAATAATGCCTCACCACCTTCATTCCCTTTCTCGCCATCACCTACTCGTTTAGAAAAACATATATCAATCTCTAATCCAAGTTCCCGCAGATTCCAACCTATGAACTTGCCTCCTCATCCACCTGAAGTGCCTTCAGTTCATACGAAGAAAACGAGCTTTGATGAATATTATCCTTCTCCTAACTACACACCATCTCCATCACAATCACCACCAATCTACATTCCTGGGAGTAATCTTTCCAAGGATCTCATACGATCTGAAAGTGCACCTGTTAGCATACCTGTTGTCAAGCATGCTAGTCCTCCCCTGCTGCCCAACAAGCAAAATTTGCCCCCATCACCACCACTCAAAGCTACCAGATCTGGTACTCCGAGGACTGATAAAAGTATAGGTTTGGTTCACACTGGTGCAACGGTTGAAAAGGTATTATACATGCTCATCACAATGAGCTTTTGTTTAAAAGGTGTTTACTCAATAGGATTCTTTGTCTACTGCAGCTGTTCTCTCTTGGGAGAGATGACATTAGAAAATATTCGAGCTCGAAAATGTCATCCAACAGCTCTCCTCAGATTTCATTTTCCAGAACTTCCAGCAGGTCATATCAGGATGATTTTGATGATTCTGAGTTTCCTTGCCCTTTTTTTGATGTGGAGTATGATGATGGGATGGATCCAGGTAGCAGGTAATGTGTGAAGTATGATTTATTACTTCTGGTTTGTTTAATTTTTGTTGGTGCTGGTATTACCTTAAGTGTGTTGACTACTCTGTTCTGGCGAATAAATTATCATGCTGATCATGTTTGAGGTGATGGATTCATTAGATCTTTAAGCATATGTACGTTCAAATAACAGAGAAGAAGAGCTTTTGCACAAAGAACTGAACTAGCCAACTTTTCTTAGCCAAGCCTTAACAAATAGCAAATCATGGTTCTTGCAGAGCATCTACAATACTTTTGATAGTATTGGCATTGAATATCAGGGATCCCACCAAATATTTTGCCTGATATACTCATTTAACATCTTTAATAACTAGAACTTATGGTATGTATTCACTTAGGATCAAAGTTTGATGATACTGTGTAGTCCACGATCTAAATCAAGTAAGGCTTATGCTTTCATGTGTTATCATAACTTCAGTGCTCATCAGCATTTATAGTTTCATGTGGTTCGTTTCTGCCATGATGGATTTAAAATTTCTTAAGTATTACCAATCATAGTCTTTGGGACTATTTGTTTTAGGAAGAAACTCTGAATTTAGCTAGTGCTCATTCAGGTTTTCGTCGTTATTAAGACTATTAGCAGTCTTTAAATTTATCTACACAATAATTAGTCAGTCTTCTTATTGATTTGACATTAGATTGCCCTATGGTTTAGTTTACTTTTCTACCAGGATTTGGTTTTCCTATTTTCTGTTTGCTTTCCTTAAATTGCACTTTAGTAAGATGTTCAAGTCAGAATAAATATCAGCTGACCAATGAATTGAGTTTTCTAGTATTGGCTCTCTCGGTCTATGTTTTTGTTTTCCTTCAATAATTGATTCTATGTCAAGTAAATATTAGGATGTGGCACCTGCAGAAACCAGAAGAATGTTTAAACTCAAGGGAGTTCTCTGGTAAGACCTACAATATTTGCTGCGGTTTCTGCAATGTCCCTAGCCTCTGCTGAGATGTGATGAAAAAATAAAAATAAATTTTGGTTTGGAAAAGGTGAATCATTCTTCAATGCCTAAAGAATATTTGTGATGTAGGTTTAATTATTAGAATAACTGGCTGAACGTTTCCTCTTTAAATGCTATTTGTATATAAACATGCTACAAGGAGTCAAGGAGGTTAAAAATTTTGCTTCTGAACCTTTGTATTTGTCAATTAATCTGACTGGAGAGATCATGGTGGTAGATAAGTCGAAAAATATTCGGTGTGAATCTTTGTTGCAGAGTATCGAATAATTTAGATTTAGCAGTAAGAAACAGTATGTTGGAACCTTTACATGCAACATGTAAAACCTACCATTGATCCAGTGTGTGTTGGTTTTGGCTGGTTAAACCGACCTGTTAACCTATCGTCTGAGCCCGATTAAACTGATAATCAATTATGTGCAATTGCATAACCAAACTAGACAACAAAACTGCAATCAGGTTGGTTTTATCATGGTTAACTTACCTTAAATCTGGACAGAATGTGTTTTTCTTCCTGAAATTTTGCAGCTTGAAAACAATCTGCCCCAAGGCAATTGATAGAAAATGTGCAAGAACTGCAAGCAAGAAGTGAATTCTGGTATTTGGTCCAAGTCTTTTGGTCATTCAACCTAATGTGCTTTGTGCATCCTGCAGGGCCGAGTCCTTGGATAAAAAAGGCCATCTTTTTGACCCGTCTGAGCCTGGAGTTCTCTTTCCAGTTAAAAAATCCCAAGATGCAGCTGTTGGTGCTCTTGTACGCATGCTGAAGAATGCCCCACCTTTACACCAAGACTTCTCTAGTTCCGGTGATTTGCCGCCAGACTCGAGGTCCAAAACATGGAGCAGGAACCTCCAGGAATGCAATCCAGTCTCTGGAGCACCAGCAGGTCAGCAGGCTGCTGCTTCAGGTGTTGCTTCTTCCGGACTCGTTGCATCAAAGACAACGGCTGATGCATTGGAAGAACTCCGCAGCTACAAAGATATGATGAAAGACTTGTTGCTTAGCCAAGCTGACAGGTCCAACACTTCTGCTAATTGTGCTTCAATGCCAAATCCTACAAGCAGCAGTGCAACTGGATGTTGAACTCCTTTTGATAATTGCAGAACTGTACAGAATCTTGGTTTAAGAGGTGATTTCATGGTTTATAGGTAAAAACCGTAAAATGCCTTATTAGCGCCCATCTCCTTGGTTTATAGGTAAAAACCGTAAAATGAGGCGATATGAGATTTTGATGATAACTGAGGTTAATGTAGTAAAAGAATCTAAACCTTTTTTTTTTTTTTTCACGATTTGGCAAACTGTTTTTCATTTTCTGTATATAATGCCAGTACTTGGCATGCTGTTAAATTTGTGAAAATATTATCGTGTTTGGCTTCAATGCCATGCATGCTGCAGACATGTCTTTTTTTTTTGGTTTCCCACTCTGTATTCGTGGCCCTAAAATTGTTATGTGATCACTGATAACAAACTTCCTGGTTCAAATGTGGCTTAAAGCTGTTTTTATGGATAAATAGCTTAATCTGACTTTATATTTGTACGTGGCCAAAAAAAAATTCATCGAAATGATATATTAGAGGTTTAAACATTCTTTAAAAATATAATAGTTGTAATTAGAAATATAAGAGATTTAAACATTATTTAAAAATATAATATATGTAATTAGAAATGTATGGGATATATTGAAAGCTCATACTATTATATAAAAATAAATTGAATTATTTATTCTATCAGTAAAAAAAAGTTTGGTAATTATTTGATATGTTTTTTTTTCAAGAAAATTAATTATGTTTTTACTTAAGATAACATTACATTTTATCAAAAACTACTTTCGTTTAAAAGCATAGTCTTTTTTTTTTTTTTTTCAAATAGTGAGATTATATGATTTCAAAGAAAATTAGAGCATAATGAAACATTTATTTTAAGTGAAAAGTAGTTGTGCTTTAAATGTGTAATAGTGTCAAAACAATGGTAAAACTTTTTTACTTTATAATGCGGTTAAATAATATGCCAAGGGCTCAATTACAATTTTGGTGTGTGAATATGAGAAATTTTAAAATAGTCAAAGAGTAACTAATTATACTTATAATAGTTACTTTATAAATTTATTTTTGAGAAGAGAGATAGGCATAAAAAAAAAAAAATCATACCTGAACCTATCAAAAGTAAAATATTTTCACATAGAGTTAATTTTTTATATATTTTTTTAATTCTTTCTCCTTTTTTGTATCTATCTCTTTTTTATTGGGTAAGTACAATTAGTTGCTTCGAAATATAAAATTTCTTAATACCGCAAAAAAAGATGCAATGTGTTTGGCTATATAAGTGACTAACCTCTTCTCAACAATAAATGTAAAAAATTTTAACAATTGAAAATTAACCAAATTAGAATTTCTTAAGGAAAAACAAAAGATGCAATAGGACCCTTAGGTAACACGTAGAAATAATTTAAAATGATTAATAGTTCTAAATAATGGATTAAATATTAAGAATAATTAAATTTATTCTCGGACCTTAATTACTATATAACTAAAACAGGTAGAGTGTTTGAACAGTGATTTTTACTATTCATCCCATTACAAACTACTATTCACTCATTGTAGCTATTTTTTTTTGTAATTTTGTAATTATTTTTATTTTGATCTCTAAAATTTTAACCCTCTAGCCGATGCACTACATATATTTTTTTTTTGGTTTTTTTCCCTCACAAACCACTATTCACTCACTGTAGCTAGTTTTTTTTTTAAAAAAATATAAATTATTTCATTTTGGTCATTAAAATTTTAAAATAAAAATTTTAACCCCTAGCCGATGCACTACACATGTTTTTTTTTTTTTTTGCATCAATTTAGGTTATTTTTTATTTAACTGGGTGTTAAAATTTAGAAAAATCAATTGTTGTTATTTTCATATAAACCGATAATTATATAATATATAAGATATATTTTTAGATTTTAGAATAAATATATACTATTCTTCTTATCAGGGGTTAAACTCATTGTAGCTAGCTTTTTTTTTTTTTTTTTTAATTTTTTAATTGTTTCATTTTGATCCCTAAAATTTTAAAATAAAATTCTTAATCCCTAGCTGATGCACTATACATGTTTTTTTTTCATCAATTTATGTTATTTTTTATTTAATCGAGTGTTAAAATTTAGAAAAATAAGTCGTTATTTTTTCACATAAACTAACAATTATATAATAGATATGATATATTTTTAGATTTTAGAATAAATATTTATTATTCTTCTTATTGGATATGTGAACAGTAGTAGTGGTGGAACTTTCGACAGAGTGTGAGGATTTCTTTGTCATTGGAAGTTAGCATTTTTTGTGGCGTTGGAATTGTCTCTGTTGGACGATGCAGATGAGCCGACACATGGTGGTTTGAAGTCGATAGGCTCCGATTGCTGTCTTTGGCTCTTTCTTTAGGTTGCTAGTTTTTTTTTTTTTTCCTTCTCCAAGTGTTAGTGTGCTCTCCTTCCTTTATGTGTGTGTGCGGGCAAAATATTTATAGGGGTGCTTTTAGGGTTAACATAAGATTTTTTCTATTTTAGTTTTTTCTCTTTTATTATTAATCAGACCTAGCCTAATACTGATCTAAGCCTAATTCCTTTTTTTTTTTTTTTTTTTGTATATTTATAGGGATAAAAATAGGGTAATGACATCTATAATCATGTTTGGTTAAACCATTTTTCATTTGTGGTTCATTTCATTAGGTTAGATTCTCAGAATCATAGTTTTTTTTTTTTTTGAACATCCTTATTACATATCATCCTATTTAGTCAAATTAGAAAACACAATCACTGTCTCTCTTCTTAATCCAAAAAACATGTTATTATTATTATTATTATTATTTTATCTCAAAGTTGATGAGGTAGCTAAACATTATGACATATTTTTCAGATTTGATGGGTCTTAAGTGGTGAATCAGGTTCGCCTAATAATTTTACATTATTTTGTTTCATCATAGTAAGCATAAACATATTATTTCAGAAGTTCATTAATTGTATTATATGATTTTCAGATTTGGATTCTTTGTTGTTCTTAAAAAAAAAGACCAATGATGTGTTTTAGGTATTGAATTATATAATACGAGATAATCCATCTTTTTAAATATCATCAGTATTTTTTGGAAGCTAGCAACATTAGATCAAAGTAGGTTTTTTTATTATTTATTAATCATACTTATTGGATCAAAGTAGAATTTGACAATATCGCCATATTCAATATTGTTATTGTCTATAAATAATTATTGCCTTAAATTGACACGTGTCTCATGGTTTTTAAAAGCCATGTGATTAACTCCTTACAAAACATGACCAATTTTGTAGAAATTTTTGAATTTTATTCCAAAATCTATACATATAGAAAAATAAATCAAAATTGTCGGTAAATATAATTTTAAATTAATTGGTTGAGAATTAAAAAAAAAGACAAATTAAAATAGTAAATTTTAAATAATAAAAATAATTAACAAAAAATATTAAAATAAAATGGGATCAAATCGCAATATAATCAAAGTTTGAAATTAAAAAAAAACAGAGATTTTTTTAAAAAAAAGACAAATTAATGTAGTAAATTTTAAATAACATAAAAAATCACAAAAAAGTTATTTAAAAAACACTTTTAATCTAAAAATGAATTTCGGACAAATTATATATATTAATCATGCCATTATAATTTAAAAATTATCTAATTTATTTTTTTAAATAATCATGTTCTAAAAATTTATTCAAAATTCATACATATAGAAAAATAAATCAAAACTGTCAGTAAATATAATTTTAAATTAATTAGATGACAATTTAAAAAAAATGATAAAGTAAAATAGTAAATTTTAAATCATAAAAATAATTAAAAAATACTAAAAAAAAGAGAGACCAAATCACAATATAATCAAAAGTTTGAAATTGAAAAAAATATAAAAAAGAGAATTTAAAAAAATAAAAAATTAATGTTGTAAATTTAACATAATATAAAAAATTAAGAAACAACTATTTGAAATACGCTTTTAATTTAAAATTGTATTTCGGACAAATTATATATATTAATTATGCCACTATAATTTAAAAATTATTTAAATCTATTTTTCAAAAAAAAAAAATCATGTTCTCAAAATTTATTCCAAAATCTATACATATAAAAAAAAAATCAAAACTGTTAGTAAATATAATTTTAAATTAATTGGATGAGAATTTGAAGAAAATGACAAATTAAAGTAGTAAATTTTAAATAATAAAAATAATTCACAAAAAAACACTAAACAAAATGTGACCAAATCACAATATAATTAAAGTTTGAAATTGAAAAAACAAAAAGAGAATTTTTAAAAAAATAAAAATAGTAAATTTTAAATAATAAAAAAAATTAATAAAAAACACTAAAAAAAAAATGATATCAAATCACAATATAGTTAAAGTTTGAAATTGAAAAAAAAAAGAATAAAAAAATTGAGGATCAAAATGTTATAAAAATATCATGAATAGTGAAATGAATAATGATTTGTGAGTGTGTGAATAGTATTTCAAATAATGAATGAATAATAAAATCATGTTTTGATTTATTTTTATTGATAATATGATAGTTACTCTTGATTTTCAATTTTTCATTCCAAATATATGATCAGTAAATTTAAACATCATCCACATCTTAAACTTTGTTTTTTTTTTACCCCTTCAAAGTGGGTTTTTTTTAAGATTGTTTTTGTTCCTTTTTAGTACATCGTCTTTTATGATAGTTTTGAAATATAATGTATCCAAGTCATAATAATCATTTCATTGAATGAAACCAAAAGTACAAACAAAACAATAAATAAACAATAAACGTAAAGGATGAATAGATCTAAAACATACTATTAGAATAAACTCTAAAAAGATAAACAAGACATATATTATTCATGGTTTGAATACAAAAGATTCAATTAACTTGCATTCTAAGAAAACATATTGTTTGTTTCCAGGTCTTGTGAAGAAGAAGAAGACGAAACGCCATTATTGATCTCCATGACTTTGCTACACAAGCTCATGTATAATTCCCTGAACTTATTTTCGAGTTGAATAAGCTCTTGATAGTTAAGATCTTCAATAGGAGTATCCCACCAACCCATGCTCTTATTCTCTTCCACCTTATTCTTCAGTTTTTGGCCCTTTGTTTTTTCAATATCTAGTTGATTTGCCATTTTATTTCTCATAACAGTTAATTCATTAATTATTATTCGCTTATGTGCCTCCACAAGAGGATGAGTGATATCATTATTTTGTGGATCATCACCAAGAAAGCGATTAGTAACAGATTCAAGTGAAGGATGAGCAAAGGAAAATGGCTTACCCGCCGGTGAGAAAACAACGAAAGCAATTTCAGCCCCAGTGAGAGTAGCAAGCTCACTTGCCTTTTTGTAGATACCAGACTTGCGTTTAGAAAATGTTATAAGTCTATCATCTTGATTCTCAACCCTCTTCATTTCAATCTTTTGCCTGCCTTTAGTTTTCTTCGCTGCCATCACAAAAAAATTGTATATATAAAAGAATAGCTTTTTATTTATTTATTTATTAAAATGATATATGAAATAAAAGTTAAAACATGGGATAGTGTGATGGTATTTCGTCTTTTGAGATATATATACACATAGGAATTAGAAATGTAAAGAGTAGTAAATGGTAATAACATAAAATTATATTTTTTTCAACATTTTCTTTCAATAATACACGCATACTCCATTAATACAATAAAATATTTAATATATTTAGTTGTCACCTAATACTATATAATCGATTTCTTTCTTAAATTGGGTAATTATAATTTATGCATTTAGAAACTCATATATGGTAACATCAACTTATCACAATCTACAAAAACCATTCAATATTTAACTATTGTATAATGTTATTGCGTGATTTATTGTGAGTTGAAAGTAGAATTTTTAAAAACAAGTTTCTTAATTAGTTGATTTACCTTTTTTTTTACTTAAAAAAAATAAGAGTACTCCATAACAAAATACGTTGATTTAATAGCATAATAGTAATTAATATGGTAAAAGTCACATAATGTGCTTTCAAAGAAAATTAGAACTTGATGAACACTGTTTTTAAACTAAAAGGTAATTCTGCTTTAATGGCACAAAAATTTCAAAAAGAAGTCTAAAACATTTTTGAAAAATATAACACGATTCATCGATATGTCAACGGCTCAGCTACGATCATAGTGTGTGAATACCACTGAAAAACGTGTAACATATTGTGTCATATAATTATTTAATAATTGAAAATGAACCAAAAATAAATTTTTTGTAATGTAATTGGTAAAGAACGACGTTGCAGTGGGATTTTTTGAGTGCTACGTAAATATTATCCATTAAAATATTTTTATATACTAGTAGTTACCTTAGCTACTAGGAATTTACTATCGAAAATTATAATATTTGAAGCAATAGTTATTGTTTCTCTCTTGGAAGAATGTTAAACTCTAATATATAATATCAATTTTATCACATTTTAAAATATTGTTTTAATTATGTTGCTTCTTAACTTTTCAATCGAAATATTGATATACTCAAAACTTTATGTGGGTCTCAGCTCAACAAACTAATTAAGGCCCAAAAAGACAAAGTCCATGTGCATGACTCTTAAGTGGTGCGATCACGCCTAAGTCCAAATCCACAAGAGTAGGCACATCCAAAGAGGAGGCTCATATGAACGTCATGTTTGAAAGACAAAATATAAGCAAAGAACGTGAGAAGTCAAATTTTATTTAAAAGAAAAGACTAACAAGAAAATAACTAATTCGAATGACTGAAACTAGATATAAGAAAGACGTGAAAATATTGTAATGAATGAGTGAAAATATTAAAATATATAAAGCATTATAGTCCAAAGTAAATATGAAGCATTGTAACCCAAAGAAGAAAGTTATAGAACATTACAATTTAAGAACGTGATCAATAAAATAACATGTAGAAAAATAAAAATCAAAATTTGAGTTCCGACAAATGTCTTTAATTCTATCAATGCTTTGTGGGAAGCAACATTTGATTACGTACCACTATCGCACTAAATAACTTTTACCACCTTAAGTTTTTATTCATTTATTTATCAATTATCCTTTATTGCCCAAAGGCAAAAATTCAGCAACGTCACCATATTGAATGATGTTCTCTCTCTTAAGTTAACATATATTGCATAGTTCAATAGCCATGTGATAAAACCTTTTCAACCAATGACCAATATTTTTGAGAAATTTTTATATTATTCCAAAAATATCTATCGATATTTATTTAATAAGAAGAGATGTAAACACAATTAAAAGAGATAATTATGGTGAAATTCAGTAAAAGTGACTTTATTATTTTCATCTAGACATAAAATTATTTCTCTTTTTATTATGTCTATTTCTCTTCTCATAGAATAAATACTACAAGAAATTAAGCATTTAGTGACAAATTTTTCCATCGCTAAACCTATATATTTCGTTGTTAATTTGTTAGTGATAGAATGATGCAAAAAAAAGTGTCGATAAAATGCTTATCGATAATAATTTTAGCAACGAAAGTTATCATATGTTGCTAATTTAACAATGGTCAATTTGTCGCTATAGTGAAGTATGTTCGTGGCTAATGTGATGAAATTAGCGACGGATATGTTATCGTTATAAAGATATTTTTCCATCGCTAATGTGATGGCAAATCACTAACGAATAATATTTCGTCGTTATTCGTTGCTAATGTGATGGAAATTATAAATGCTTTACGTAGTTATCCATCAATTGTTGATGTAATTTAATCGATCTTTCTATTGCTAGTCGAGTCGTTTTTCCATTGCTAATGTAGGAAATGTAATTTTTTTATTTGTTATTTATTAGTGGTGTAATGTTTAATTATAGTAGCACATGACTAAATATAAAATTATAACACGAAATATTATTGCATAAAATAAAAATAATATAAAATCAAATAAAATTTATTAAAAAGTGCTCTAGTATACGAAAATAATAAAAATTAAGACTAAAAAATGTGCGTTTTTATTACAAATCGACCACAAGGCTCGATGCTTTTGAATTAAGGCATTCATAGCCTCGGCCTTGGAGAAAAGCGTATAATAGCCATTCTAATGGGATCTCTTTTTTCTTTGAAAGTAATGGGATTTTTTTTTCTTCCATGAAAAATAATGGGATCTAGATACCTGTAATAATATTCCAAGCAATGACCTTTAAGAAATTATAGCAATTCCATAACAGTTTAACTTGAAAGCAAACTATTACAGTAACTTTACGAACGTCTCAATGGAGGATGGAACAAATTCACAGCCAGACAGGAAGCGCTCTATACCATCGGCAAGTGCATTTAGAGGAAGTTCTTTTAGTAAAACTTGAATACGAAGACACATACTTCATGATGTTCGATTAACTCAAAAGTTAACATATCACAAAAATTATAGAAAAAAGCAAATAAAAATTTCACAATCATTAATAATTAATTATTATTACTCAACATTAGAAATTAATATTTGAACCAAAATATGTAGGCTTAAATTATTGAACCCACAATCTGACCATCTTATTATGATTTAAATCCATTTTCTTCTTATTATTTTAATCAGGCACACCCATGAGAGCTATTACCCTATTTAATTCGATGATAAGCACAATAACAAAAAACTTGGAAATTATATCATAATTAAGTAAATTTAGAGAAATGTTTAGGCTTAATTACCTGACAATATGATTATATAATCTTCTGCCTCTATTTATTTATTTATTTTTTTTGCCCTTGCATTTGTGTTCTTCATGGAAACCAACAAAGCCTACGGGCAAACAACCCTTTAAACCCTTCCACCTTCATAAAGATTACGTAATCACTTAATGAGTAATAATTAAAACTGTAGAGTAGAGTCAAATGATTCTAGAATCTAAATCCTAGCAAGTAATTAATGTATATTAATGAATGAATCTATAATATATTAACTTTCATAAAAATGAATTTTAAGCAAAATTCATAAAGTATCCCTTATTGGGGCTGGGATCGTTGGAGGAGCTGACAGAGGGGCTAGTGGTCGGTTTTTGGTGCTGGCTGCATGGCTGGGATCAGTGGAGGGGCTGGCAGCATGGCTGGGATGGAGAGGAGGAGCAGCGGCCAGTTTTTGAGGGATGAAGGAGAAGAAAAATAGAGGAGGGAGAAGGGTTCTCTCAATTTAGGAATCTTTTTTAGCGACGGGTGCAATTCTTTCATTGTCTTTTTTTTTTAAATTGGGCCATTCTTTCTCTTAATCAACGACAATAAACATCATTAATCACTAAAATCCATCGTTAAATCATTTCTCACACAAAATTAGCGACAAAAAACATCATTAATCCCTGTTTAATTTTATAAAATTGTGCCATTTTTTTCACTTTTTCCCGATTGACTCAATGTTGCCCCTAAAGTTACTATTCCATCCTTGTTTTTTTTTGAAAAAAAAAAAATTGGGTCATTATTCCCTTAATTAATGAAGAAAAACATCATTTGTCGCTAAAATCTATCATTAAATCATATCCTCATATCCTGCCCAAAACTAGTAACGAAGAAAAAATTATTCATCGCTAAAATCCTTTGCAAATCAATTGGTATTCGTCGCTAGCTTAACTGTCAAAAATTTATCTCATAATTCAAAGATGATAGTGTTTCTTCATCGACATTACATCATTGATCGATCGGTATTCCGTCACAATTAACCCAAAATGTCAAAAATTTATAACGAGTTGTTAATCTTTTACTAATTCATCGATTATATGCGGACAACTTCGTATCCGTCGTTGATTTTCGTTACTATTTAGCTATTTTTTATAATGAAAAATGAATAATTAATAACATAATAATATAAAATTTTGCCAAATTTCGTATTCCATATATATCATAAATAAATTTAATTAAGCACCATCCCCACCTTAAACTTTTTCCTTTTTTTAAAAAAAGGCGTTCTTTTAAGATGGTTTTGGATCCATTTTGAAACATCATCTTCTTAGATAGTTTTCTTTACCACTCATAATTAATGATAAAAATAAATAATGCATCAAGCAATAATCATCTAATTTAAATCTTAAAAGCAAGGTATATAAAAAAAAATTACAAACGAAGACGAAGACAAATAAGCAAGATGAAAATAAAGGATGTACAGGGTTAAACAGATTGTTCTTTATTAATATATTGAATACAAAATAGTTGAAAACTTGCATTAGATGAAAAATGATTGTTTAGTTATGGAGCTTGTGAGGAAGAAGGATCTCCATTGTTGATATCCATGACTTTGTTGCACAGCATCATGTGTAATGTCTTAAATTTATTCTCTAACTCAATAAGCTCTTGAACGTTAAGCTCCTCGAGAGGAGTATCCCACCAACCCTTTCTCTCATCGTCTATCAACTTCTCCTTTAGTTTTTGGCCCTTCTCCATATCAGAATCTAGTTGACTCACTATCTCATTTTGCTTTTGAGTTAAGCTTTCAATTCTTACGCGCCTATGTGCTTCCATGAGATGAGTATTATCATTGTTTGGTGGATCTCTACCAAGAAAACGATTAATAACAGATTCTACTGAAGGATAACCGAAGGAAAAAGGCTTACCAGCAGGGGAAAAAACTACAACAGCAATTTCAGCCCCAGTTAGAGTAATAAGCTCACTTGCAATTTTGTAGATCCCAGACTTACGTTTAGAAAATGTTACAAGTCTATCTCCTTGATTTTCAATCCTCTTCATTTCCATCTTTTGTCTGCCTTTAGTTTTCTTGGTTGCCATCATAAAATTTATAGATAAAAGAAAAGATTCCGCCCCCCTCACAATAATGTAAAAAAGAAGAGTTAAAACATAGGATTGTTTGGTGGTATTCTTCTTATGAGAAATATATGTAGGAGGAACTCGTAAAGCATAGTAAGTGATAAGAAAATAATTTCTAAGTATTTTTTTTTTTTATGTAATATAGACACAATCGCTACGAATATAATAAACTATTTACTGCATTTAGTTTTCACCAAATACTATATACTCGGATTGTCTTTCCTAAATAGGATAAGTACAATTTATGTAATTGTGAAAACCTATATGGTAAAATCAAGTTCACCTATTATTGCAATCTATAATAATCATTCAAATTTAAGCATGGAATAAATACAAGAAAGAATACAAATATATCAAATTGAGAAAAAATCATTTATCATAAGACTTAAGTTTTTTCTTAACTACTACGTTGTGTTGATATTTATTATTATTGTTGTTGTTGTTGTGTTATTTTGTGCAAGTTTAAGGTATTAATTTTTTTTTCGGTAATTAGTTGGTAAATTTATTAAAAAAAAATATTTTTTTGTTACAGAAGCTATCTCACATTTAATGAATACAAGATGACAAAATAATATGTAAATGTGTTACGCATTACAAGGTTTAAGTCTTTTGAATATTTGAAAACAATTCAAAATCAATTATCAAATTCTATATAGCTTTAGAGTCTCAAAAAATTATAATAATTGGAGTAAAGATCCTAAAACCCAAGTCACTTAAACAATACCAAAATATGAATTGCCATCTAATGCATAAAAAAAAAAAAACAATGTATAAAGTTAAGAATGCAATACCTATGACAAGACATAGGTCCGTTGAATATAATCCAAACTCAACTATCAATTTCAATATTACTTAAAAAAAAATAATAGATTTTATAATAAACTCGCTTTCATTTAAAAGCATAGCCTTTTTCTTTTAAATAGTGATATTATGTTCTCCGAAAGCAAATTAGGACATGATGAACCATTTCTTTTAAATAAAATATAATTGTGTTTTAAATGGGTGCAATTTCAAAACAATAGTAAAATATTTTTACATTATAATGCGACTCATTGATATGTCTAGGATCTCAATTACGATCCCGATATGTGAATACCAAAAAATAATAATAAATAAATAAATAAAAATATGCAACACATACCTATATATGTAAAGAATTTTAACCATTAAAAATTTAAGCAAATTAGAATTTCTTAAGTACAAAAACAAAGCTTCGAGTGGGACCTTTTAGATAAAACGTAGAAAGAGCTTGTTTGTGTTGTGATCACTTGAAATGCTTGATATTTGATTTAATTGAACATGTGTTGATGTGTTGATATCTAAATATGTGTTTATGCTTAGTTTACCCAAAAAAAATAAAGAGTTAGGTCGGACTATTTTTATTCGACGTTCGTGTAAACACTTTAGATTTACTAGGTCATTCCTCGACATGCCAATAATATCAAAACTTAATTGAATTCGATGCTACATTGACAAGACTCCTAAGTTCTTGGGCTTAAAGTTGATTTAATATGATTTCACAATAAAAAATAAAAGAACCAATTTTGAAGATATTTTCACATCCAAATAAAATACATTTAGCTATTAAGTCATTCTTTGATATGATAATAGTGTCGGGACATAATTAGATATGATGCTAAATTGACAAGACTCTTAAGCTTAGGGTCCAATGTTAATTTAATACAATTTCATGATAAAAAAAATAAAACTCATTATTTTAATTTAGACAAAGAATATGATGCTAAATTGACGAGACTCTCAAGCTTAGGGCCCAACATTAATTTAATATGATTTCATGATTAAAAAAAATAAAACCCATTCTTTTAATTTAGATAAATAAATTTTAAATAGATTTAGAAATAATAAAAAAATCAATTTAAGAGAATTTTCATTTGTGTTTTAATTTGACACACTTCGCTAATTAGGTTGTTCCTTGACATGCCAATCATGTCAAGACTTAATTAGATCTAATGTTACATTGACACGACTCATAATCTTTAGATCCATAATAAAAAAAAATAATTTGACCTAGATGATAATTAAGCTTAGAAATAGACTTAGGAAATAATTTGGTAAATATAATTCTTATGAGATATTTTTTTAGGATTAAACTAAGTATGATATCTTTTTCTCGAAAATAATGTCTTTGAGCGATCACTATCTTTCTAAAGGCATAACCAAATCCTTACCCAAAAACATCCGAATCCAATGTCTTTTTCGAGTTTCTAGTTACCTTTAATACTAGATAGTAACTCCAAAAATAATTTTCTTTTAATTCTTTTCTCTCGGCTAAAAATTTGAAAGTCCCTTAAATGTTAGGCAATGATAGCATGGTGACTCTATTAAAGACTTAGAGTTAAGCCATAAGTTTATTTATTTTTATTTTATTTCATTTATTTATATTTTTTATTTATCTTCAAGTCATTTATTTTCGAAGTATTTATTTATCATCAATTTATTTATGCAATGAATTTTATGTATTTACTTTTATGCATACTCGTGAATTGGGTTAGATATGTTTGTTTGATGTTGATGCACACACATCATGAAAAAACAAGCCTATAAAAGCTCTAAACTTGAGCTGAATAATAATAATAATAATCCTTTAGGAATTAGGTAGGAAGATTTGGATGGTAAGTATGACGAAGTCTACCGATGCTTATCTCGGAATCTCGTTTGGATTAGAACTCATCCTATGTATAGAAAATTATGAAATGACCTTTCTATACCTTATAGCTTATAGGGTTAGAGGCTGGATTACCCTACGGATAATCTAAACGAGTCCGGGAACATGAAAAGCCTTTAGGAATAGACGACTTTGCCAAAATCCTATTAGAAAAGCTAGATCCTATCTCGCTAGAATTGACCCATTAAGACATGAACTCTTTTGTGATGTTGCTCATACTAACCTTTGTTTTGATAGGTTGCCAAAAAAATCATGATGGAAAGAATGAAATGTACAACTGAGAATTTTAGAGTCGGATTAGAGTAGGCTCAATTTGAAGAGGGAGATTGTCTACCCTTAGAATTTGTGGCTTGACTGCTAAACAAGATGGGATTTGAGAGACTTGAGAACCTCATAGATGTTGCTGCTCGCATATCTTGGTCTAAGATCATGAAGAGCGCGGGAGAGTAGTTTCTTTGTAATGAAAGATAGAACAATTGTTATAATATAAATCAAAATGGTTGTATTTTTTTTTTATCTTTTAATAAAGATGGCTATAAGTATCTTTTAGAATATGCTAAAAGTCATAATTTATATTTTTTTCTTGAGTATCTTGTTATGGATGCATCCTTCATTCGATATCGGCATAAAAACGGGATAGATATGTCTCCCAAATTGCTTGAAGTATTTATGGAGTTGCACCCTTAGCGACTACTTAAAATTTAATCCGACTTGTTCTTAGTTTAAGCTTTATCACGATTTGAAACCGATAACATCAATTGGTGTATCCAACCCGATCATGTTTTGCAAACATGTATTATATATATATATGTTTTAAGTTATTACGAGTCAAATTATAGGTCAACTCGTTAAAATTTAACTCCCTCCCCAAATAAACTACTCTCAACTCGACAATATCCGATAAGAACGAAAAGAGTGAAGGATCATGCATCCTATGGAGATGCGAGAATGAAACAAAAATTTTCTCTATCTAAGGCTCTCAAGATCAAGTTGTTGAATTAACTAACCATACATACATAAATTAAAACATAAGTAAATGATTACCTCTTATAGCAAAGAATGTAACCTTTAAAGAAAAGGAGGTGTTCAAGTGTCCGACCTCTATCGATAATTCACGCAGTTCAAACACCCACACAAGAAGCACTCAAAAGTAGTAAAGTGCTAGCTCCACCCTCTTCTAACTTATTTAGTGTTTTCTCTTTTGAAATCAATTCGGGAATAATTTACAACAACCCTAAGAAAGAAATAAGAGGTGGCATATGTGTATATAAGGAGAAAACTATTTTCTTCCTTTTATTTTTTTTGTTGTATGGCCCTAGCTTCATCTTTCTCTTTACCGCACCTCCTCTTATATTTATAGAGGAAGTGCCTACCTTGTCCTTCAATGATAAGGAAGTCGTGGCAATGAGTCCTTCAAGGACTCATAGTTGTTGTTTCATAATCTTTCAAGGATTAAGAGTTATTATGCACGTGGGCTTTTTGATCTTATCCTTTTAAACCTTCATCTTTATCTAATAAGGTTCATGTTTATCCTCTCACCAAAATATCTTTTAAGCTTTTAATTAAATCTATTGGCCCAAACTGTTTTAGCCCAATTAATTTTGACTATCTAAATAAATTAGGTTAGATAATTTTAGGAGACCCAAATTTGAAAACAATTTCCTAAATTTCTCTTAAACCTAAATTAGGAAACTAATTTCCTTTTTTAAGTAACTTAATTCTAAATTTGGAACCGACTTCTAAATTAGGAAATTGATTTCTAATAATAAAGAACTTTTCATTTTAAGAAACTTTTCATTTTCAAAAATCTTTTTCAAAATCTTTGCTTCTCTTTTATTATGTGAATGCTTAAAATTATACGTGTGACTCAATAGGCTTTAAGATATGATGATAATTTATCAAGAATAAAAGACACCTCTATTATCTCTTGATACATAAATCAAGATTGACATTTAACAAAACATCATGACTATCCAATTTTCTAAGAGGATTAATTAATTCATAATTATCTTTTATGAACATGGTTACCATATAATTTATTCCTTGTGTCAATTTATCACCGTGGGATCTCAAACTTGGTTATCGATCCGTTCGATTATGATCATATAAGTTTTCTTTGATTTTCAAATACCTTAGCTCTTAGAGTAAACCAACTATACTCTATTAGTGTACTCCTACCGTGGTCACAGATTTCTTAGCGAGATATTCATCAAAGTGTAATATAATAACTCCTTTAGCATACAAGGAATGACATGTCCTATCTTATTCACCCACTTACCTCCATTAGATTCTTAGTTCATCCAACGAACCATTCATCCGCAACCCTTTACCGAGTTTATCGAAACGAGTGTTAAAGTAAAAAAATCCTCTAATGAGATAAGCTGTGATGAATTTAAGTCAAAAGATGAGTTGTACTCATCTCGTATGAGATTCTCATAGACTAAACCAAATCGATTCTCATGGCGAGTCAAGTCTAGTTATATGTTCTCTAACATTAATCACCTAAGTGATTGTTTTGACATCACCATGCCAATAGGTGTGAGATCTCCTACTCGCTATCTTATAGAATGAACATAGCACTCACAAGTTTAATCGCATATAGTGAATGTCTATTTTTGACAATGCTACAACTTGAGACATTTAATGATATCATTTAAGTGCATTAATATTTATCTCACATCTATCGATTAATCAGTAATGCAAATCCATATTATATAGATTTCTATCTAATTCTATTTAATAAATAAATATAAACAATAAGAATTAATAGAAAGACTTTTTTTATTATTAATAAAATAAATAATGAAATGTTACAATAACTTAAACCATCCAATCAAAGTTGGATCTTGAGCGACTACATCAACAAAGAGGGCATAGTTAGAATATGCTCACTTAAAAGAACGCAATGCCATTAAAGGGGAAATCTCGCACCTTGCTAATCTCCTTAAAAGGGTATGCATTCCTTACCAAGTGAAAGGGCACTCGTGAATAGAGGTCAAACTCAAAGGAAATTGCCATACCATATTCTTTTGCTAAGTATGCATATGCATTCGGCTATCTACTACCCCGTTTATCAACCTAGAAGCAACTACATTCCCTATTAAAATAGTATTCCCTATAAGGTAGTTTTCTTATGAGATTGGAATATAAGCTCCATAGATGTATAGCACGCTCATTGTTGACCTTCCTAATGAGGAAACCTATAAAGTTAAAATGATAGAAAAGTCTAACTTAGATAAGCTTTTTGTTATCAAGGAGCCTTTGAGGGCTATAAAAGGTGCTGATGTGTATGATCATATAAGGGCTAACGAGATATGTTTAGTGTCGGATGTAGTAATCCCTAAGAAATTTAAAGTGTCGAAGTTTACAAGTACATGGGCATTCGATATCTAATAACTCATATGTGAGTAGTAAGTGATTGAGGTAGTGCATGAAGAAAAATTGCTAATAAATTTGTACTATGAGAGCTAGAATGGATCAGTTTTTAGTTGGTATATGTGACCAAACAATATGAGGATCAAATGATAGAAGAATTTGACGGATGCTTTTGTGAAATAGTACGAGTTTAACATGAAGGTTAGTCCAAATTAATCAGATTTGTAGGGTATAAAGCAAGGTCCAAAAAAGTCAAAGAGTATGTCTAGAGGTGGCGCGAAAGGGCGATCTAAATTCATCTACCATTACTCGAACAAAAGTTGATCATCATTTTTTCAAATACTTTCAAGGCACCATACTTTGAGTATTTGATTGGAAACTACTCCTCAAACTTTATTGACATTGTTATCATTATTAAGAGGATGGAATAGGCAATCAAAGTTAGAAGGATTCCCGATGATCCCGAGGAAAAAAAAGTGTTAGTCCCTAGAAGAGAGATAATGAGGTACACCGAGTTAAGATTTAATCCTATCTATCTAAAAATCAATAGAGAAATCAACATATGGTAACCCCGGTAATCCTACGGTATCCAAAGCCCTCTATTTGCCCAATGCCCACCTAACCTAACATCCATAATAGCCGCCAAATTCTCAACCTAAATGCAACTATATCTAACAAACCAAACTTACCGATCATACCTACCAAATCAACAAAATCAGTCTTATTTGCTTAATTAAGTATACCAAACAAGTCAATTCTCTCAAACTATTAGGACTTACCAAAATGCTTCAATATTTAACAAGCCATCAATAACATACAACTCATACCACTAGAACAATTGAGGGAACAAAAAGAACCACAAACGACTAACGTCCTAACCTTTCTTATTTTTCATTAGGTGAAATATTTGAGCGCCTAGTAAGCATTGGGTAGATCACTCTAATTCCAACTAACCTAATACAACCCCTTTATCCTCTATGGTACAAATAAGTCAAAAGATGTAAGTATCATTCGGCACTATTAGGTATAACATCAACCTATGTAGATTTCAAGAAGAGGTTGTTGGCTTTGATCAAGTAAAGGTGTATCGCTTCGACGATGATCCAAATGCTCTTAATGTGAACATGAACTCACTTTTAAACTATATAGTTGCCAATATAAGGGATGGAGATATTGAGTGAGCTTGAAAATTTATAGTGAGGATGCATGCTTGTGATTTGCAAGTGCAGATTTTTAATTTTTTATCAAATTTTGAATTCTATTTCTCCAAAAAAATAAAAACATTTTTGCTATGCATGAATTGAGTTATATATTTGAATAAAAAAGTAATTTATACTTTCTTTTTCAATTTCATATTGTTTGAGTAAAACGTAAGAGATAGGAAACAGGAGTGTTAATGCTGAAATTTCAGGTATACTATGAGTGCTTATGGGTTTGAGAATTCAATTTGTCTGTGTGTGTTTGTGAAAGTCTTGGGATCGGTATTGTCATCCTGGTTCCATCATCTCATCTCAGGACCTATGGTAGCACTTTGATTATGCAAAAGCAAGGGGCGGCATGACATACGTGAATTTTTGGAAATGAAAGGATGAAGTTCTGGTCCTCCATCGTAGTGCTCCAAATTTGCTCACGAAGAGGACTTTTGACTATGAGGTTCTCCAATAAGCTGGAGATGCTATTGTAACGAGGTGCCATTCGCATAATTTGTCAGTGTTTGCATTGCTTTAGTGGAGGAAAAGAACGAGATTCTTGCAGATAAAATCTTCGGTCAAAAAGGCTTCTTCTTTTTTTTTTCCTTTTTTCTTTCTGTCTTAGAGACATGTATTTGTTGGCAATCAAGAGCTTAGACGTGCATGAACCTTTTTGATGAAAGTCCAAAGTAAAACCTTGTAAGCTGGGCCACCCATCCGGTGTAGGTACAGCTCACGAAGGGTAAGGTTCATGGATGGACTTATGCTCTAGACGTTTGCTTTCGCATTCACTATCTGTTTCGGGATGACAATTATATCCCGCTCGATGGCTATCCATCTGAATCAATCGGTCATTGAATTTTTTCGAATATATCTTAAAAATCCTATATGTGGATATTTATTACCATTCGTTAGTAAATTATAATTAGTTTTTAAAATAAATAAAACTAATTAATTCATTTTTCGCAAGAAAAAGGAATAATTTATAATTTACTCTACGGAGAATTCTCCATGGAAATTAACTTGTCTTTTAACAATACATGTTTTTTCAGATACTCAACTCCTATTTATTAAAAAATAGTTTAGATATTAAGTGTTAATTTGACAAATCTACTAAAAATTAAGGACATACGAAGAACTAAACAATGAGTTTTTAAAATGAACAAGACTAATTAATTTATTTCTCACAACAAATCTACTAAAATGTAATGATGAAGAACTAAATAATTAGTTTTTAAAATAAATAAAACTAATTAATTTATTTTCACAAGAAAAGGGAATAATTTATAATTTACTTCATGAAGAATTGGGTTAAAGGTCCGGTATGCTTTTTTATTGTTTTAAATGTTTTAATCGAATTTTTATATTAAATTTTTTAATTATCGTGTGCCTCCTTTATTAATTGTATCTACATTTGATTTCTTTGATTACTTTTTCAGATAATAGAGATAATTTTTAAAAATTTTTGTTTTGTTATTTCTATCTTTGTTTTCTGAAAAAGTAATCCGAGTAATTAAATCTAAATATAATTAAAAATTAAAAGATACAATAATTAAAAAATTTAGTGTAAAAATACAATTAAGGCATTTGAAATAGTAAAATCCTTTAACCCATGAAGAATTGGTAAATGAAATTTGGGCCAAATGCGAAAGTAAGCAACTTGTCTTGCTTGTTAACGTCAAATAAAGTGGCCCAGCTTCAAAACTAGAGCTAAATGTGAACATAGACTTCAAAACTCTCTCACGTCACGTCAAATAGAAACATAATTGAAATAATTAATTACAACCAATTACGAAATATCAAATTGGCTGGTGACGGCGGCAGCCCACGCCCCACATGGTGCAGTCGCTACTGCGACAAGGCGGCTGCCTCTAGCTGTCCTCCATCAAGCTAAGGGATGATAATTTAACTGGACTTTGCCAATAAATTTGTAGATCGATTGGCCTCGGTGTCTTCTCGTCGTTAAGTTTCATAAGCAATACATTAAGATTTATTTTGGTTGTGTGAGAGAAGCAAACCATGTTGAAATTGATAGGAAGCTTGAGTTGCATATGGCTACTCATGGCCATATCTACTATGGCTCAAGTCCAGCCTCCGGTGCTTGACACTGCTGGACAACCTCTAAGAAGCGGTGTAGAATACTACATCCTGCCAGCTGCAACTGATACTGCTGGTGGATTAACGTTACTGTCTCGCAATAGATCCTGCCCATCTTTTGTTGGTCAAGAACCCCTCACACCGGTTGTATCACAGGGCCTGCCTGTTGTCTTCACACCATATGCTACCGGAGAGACCATTGTTAGGGAGTCCAGTAGCTTCATAGTTAAATTTTCAGCTGCCTCAACTTGTGTGAAGTCTACTGAGTGGAGCTTAACGGCAAGAGATCCAGCAAGGTCGAGGAGGAATATTGTGACAGGAAGGGGAGCTTATTTCATGATTACTAAGAGGAGCAATCTCTATTACTTGGCATTTTGTCCTGCTGATATATGTAACACCTGTAGGTTTGATTGTGGGACTGCTGGCATTACGATTGAGAATGGTAAGAGGTTTCTGACATTGGATGGTCCTGTATTTCCTTTCAGATTCAGGAGGGCTCAAGTTGCTATATCCATGTAATATATATTAAAAGGGTGGCCATATTCTCCAAATAATGTTAAAAAGGTTGGCCTTTTGTCATCGAAATAGTAAATAAATGGAGACCACTCATGAATCATGATAATTTGGATGCTTTAATTTATTAGTATTTGACTTGCGAATGATTTTTCAGAATGAGTAACAAATTCATATATCTGTTTCCGTTTCCTTCTTATAAAATTGACCATATACCATGTCATGTACTCAAATTTTCGTTCATGGCTTGTAAGCATAGTTTTAAATAATCATCTCCACATAACGATTTCAAAATATTTTATTATTATTAATTTAGTATTATAATAAATTATAATTTACAATAAGAATTAATCATAATTATTATTTTTATTGTTCGTGATTTAAAACTATACTTGTGAATTTTAAAAAGTTAAAGCCAGGAAAATCCAGTTAAACAAAGTTATTAGGCCCATAAAAAAGACATTTGTGTGATGCTTGCGCTATTTTCATGGAAGGAAACACTTTTGTGTGATTTTTTTCCATGAAAAAGGACTTTCGTCAAAGTCTGGACAAAAGTTGTGAAATTACAGGTAAAGAGAAAAAAAAAAAAGAGAAGACAAATTGTGAAAACTGATCGAGAAGGCAATATTTAACTTACTAAGTTAATTGTGTAATGCAAATTGCTGTTAATGTAATAGATTTAACCTCTGACCATGGAAAACGCCACGATCGGGAAAAAAAATTTATTAGTTAATTAATAGCTAATAAATCTGTATTGAACTTGAGTTTATTCTTTTGCATTTAAGGAAGATGCGTTAATTCCAGCTAGAAGTTTCAGAAGAAATTAAGCCAATTCAATGTCAACATATATAGATAGTTTGTCTTCGACCGGATCGAAGTCATATACTTAGTTTTAGTATCCGAAAGCTCGGATGTTGGGTATGTTCGTTGTCTTAATATGCTAGAAAGGATCAATGTTTATGGTTGATACAAATCCCGGTAATTTAAATTCAGATTTCTGAAACAAAATTTTAAGTTAATTTCCCAGTACTGATTCAGGAAGCAGGCTACAAGATGGAGGTTCAAATTCTGTCACAAAAGTTTATAAAACCATCCAGTCAAACTCCTCATCGCCTTAGGAACATGAAGGTATCATTCATTGATCAACTTGCTCCTCCAGCTTATACACCTATGGTTCTCTACTATTCTGCTGTCGACGGCGAACCAATGATATCCGAAAGGGATAGCAGATTTAACCAGTTAGAACAGTCACTATCAGAGTTACTAACGTGCTACTATCCATTAGCAGGAAGATATATTGAAGATAGAAACTTGGTTGATTGTAATGATGAAGGGGCATTGTTCCTGGAAGCTAAAGTGAGTGGCCAGCTTGCTCTACTTGATCTTCAGGGAGCGGCTGGTGTTAAGCTGATGAATAATTTCGTTCCATTTGGAGATGAAATGGCCTTTAGTCCTGTAATACTAGCAGTTCAAATCAACAAGTTTGACTGTGGTGGGTTGGCCATTGGCGTCTGCATATCGCATAGAGTAGCTGATGGTCACACATTGGGGTCATTCCTCAAAGCATGGGCTACAGCTTGCCGAGCAGGGATGCATGAAGTGATCCGGCCTAGTTTCGACGCAGGAGCTCTTTTTCCGGCAACAGATGCCTTAAGGTTCGGCACTCCAGTCCCTAAAGTTGATGGGAGTTTGATAGTCACCAAAAGGTTTGTTTTCGATGGAGAAACGATTAGCAGTCTGGAGGCTAAAGTCATGGCCTGCGCTCATGATTTAGACCTTAAACGCCCCCCTTCGCGAGTGGAAGTGGTGACAGCTCTGTTATGGAAAGCTATCATAGGTGCGGCTCAAGCAAAACACAAACAACTAAGACCTTCTCTGCTAGCCCTTTCGTTTAATCTTCGGGGAAAAGTGAATCTTCCAATTACAGAGAATTCTTTAGGAAACCTATACAGGATGGTCGGTGTTCGATTTAGTCCTGAAGAGAGTAGTTCAGAGATGATTCACTTGGTAACTCTACTAGGTGATGCAGTAAACAAGGCCAACGAAGATTGCGAAAAAGCGGCAAATCCTGATGATGTGATGGAGAAGGCCAGTAATTCCATGAAAGAGATACTTAAAGAAGCAAGCAACGGGGGTGTAGATATCTGTGTGGTTTCTAGCTGGTGTAAGTTTCCCTTTTATGAAATTGATTTTGGCTTTGGAAAACCATCTTGGTTTAGCAGTGTGCATAAACCTGTGGAAATAGTCATTCTTGCGGATACCAAATGTGGGAGTGGAATTGAAGCCTGGGTGAGCTTGGAAGCGGAAAATATGCTTCAGTTCCAACGAGATATATCAGCATATTACTTATAATCACTTCCAAATTGTAGTATAACTCTGCAAGGCAATGCTTCCTCCGGACAATCGAAGAGCTTTTAGTCTAGTGATAGTATTTTCTTGAAACAAAAGATAACGAATTTAAATTCTAATAGATTAAAATTTTAGATGTGTGAGTTAAAAAAAAAAAAAAAGTTTCCTCTGGACAGTTTTCGCATCAACAACTAGCTAATCTATTTTATGAATGTGGGTTTTTTTTTTTTTAGAAAGAAAATACTGTTTATCAAAATAAAGATTCAATAATTGATTAGGGATCGTTCAATTATGACATCTATTTTTATATTTTCAGGATTTTTTGTGGCATATAAATAAGTTTTATATTGAAAAACCAAGATCAAAATACTAATTTCTGTTTAGTTTTTAACTATATATATAAAAAAAAAAAACGGAACCATATATTTTTGGTTTGGTTCAGTTTTTGAAATTTTTTGTTTGGTTTAAACCAAAAATTGATTCTTTTTTTTTCCGAAATTTTTTTCTTTCTTTTTATTTTATTTTATTTTTTTTATGATAATAAACATAAATCAAAGAATCAATACCTAGATATGTGATAAATTGATGGTATTTTTGATCTATTTACATTATTTAAAAAATTTATTAAAAAATCGGTTTAAACAGGAAAATTGAAAAATTAAATAGTAATTCAGTTCGGATTTAGTTTTTGTTTTTATAAATTTGATTAACAAAATTGTATAAAGCCAAACCAAGTGATCAGCCCTAATAGAAAATGGAGAAAATGGGATGCTCAATCACATATTATAGAAAGTTGCGTGTGTGCTAAGTGAAACTACATGAAGAAGTTTGGCGTCTCAGCAACTTTTTTTGAAAATTGGAATCAGATATTGCTTTTAACTCAGAAAATTACACAGAAATGTAAGAAAAGAAAATTAAAGAAAAAAGAACAAAGATACTTACCAGGTCAAGTCTAAGATGCAGCTGCAGCATGACCATATCCTTTCTCTTCTCCCTTGCATGGAAATTCAAGAAAGGTAAGAAACGTTCAAGATAGCCAAAAAGAAGAAGTCTTGAAAGAGTCACAAGTTTTAACTTGCAAGGAACAGTCTAAGGGAGAATATGGAATGCTTTTAAGCCTTTTTGTTAGGTATAAAACAATAGCTTGAAGTGACAAAAAGTACATCATCACTTGGCGTGCTCGTATTCTTTTCTGCATTTTTAACCGTTTTAGCCTGCAAGGATCCTCACATGAAAATGCATCAAAAGAGTCGAGACCTTGTACTCCTTAATCACCTGCCTAAATATGCAGCTTATAAAGAAGAGTTTTTTGCACAGTTGACATAATATATATCATTTCGCTATGTCTGCTAAAGGTTCTTGGACTTCTTACAATCTACGAAGTTTTCTGGAAATGATTTGTCGTTACAGAGCCAGCTCCAGCAATGTTTCAACAGCGTGCAAGATCGGACGAGGTTTCTCGGTTCATCAAGGATTGCAGTTGATTAGTGCCAATATCCGAAAAGGGAGAAGATTTGATTCCAATATGTAATCATGCTTCTTCTCAAGTTTTTTTCGTCTTTAATCTTGTTCCAAATAGTTTGATTTTATTCTTCAAACGAACACTGATGCAAAAAAAAATTCTTTTTTTCTGTTCATGATCTAGGATGAAGAGGGACAAAGTTGCACCGCCAGTACCAAATCCTCCCGGAAGTAACTTCCTCCATTGGTATGAACTCACTTTGCACTCACATTTAAAGACTAGATGGATCAAACTTCTCCTTAACTTTAGGCCATTTGGAATCGAATCTTTGAATTTCGTTTTTGGTCTTAGAAATACTTAAAAATTTTAATTATTTTTAGATTTAGTTGACATTTAGTTTAATAAATGACAATCAAATAAATAGGTTCGTGATGAAAATCCTTCACTAAAATTTAATATAAAACTCCTCAAAAAATTTAATATCGTTTCGAATTATATTCTATTTTTCCCAATTTTCTATATTTTTAACATTCACAAATAAACAAATATATTTTTTTATTGTGAAAATTTTTGAGATTTTTCTAAAAATAGATTGAATTTTTTTCAATGCATGTGCAAAACTTGAGTTCAAAATACAAAGAACTGAATTGTTTTAAAAAAAGAGTGATAATTAAAAATCATTAGATGGACTAAATCTAATGATTTAGATTGAGGTATTATTATTTGAAGAATAACATTGCAAAGAACATCATTCCATGCAGGGCAAGATGGGCCTTGGGATCTATACTATCCATCTTACTACCCTTTTGGAAGCAAAAATGGGAGAAGCTGAAAAGGTTAGAAGGTACGTAAAACCCTAATGTATGCTTGTAAATCTACTAAATCTAGCTTATCAACTTGGGAGATTATGATTTTAGGAGAAGTGGAAATTATAGCTGAAGAGGTTGATCAAGTAGCAGAGGTGGTAGAAAAGGTGGCAACCGTGGCGGAGGAGGTGTCCGAAGAGGTGGCTGAAGCACTGCCTGAAAATGGAAAACTAAAGGAAACAGCTTTGTTGATAGAAGCCGTTTCAAAAGCAACTGCCCATGATGCTAAACTAACACAAGACTTCATTCACCAGGTAAAAATCACTAAAAGAGATTTCGACTGCCATTAATTTAAAAAAACTGGAAGGGCAAATCCTTAAAACATGCATGTGTTTGCTGACAAATGTTGTCTTCCTTCTTCTCATAAAACACGCAGGTGGATGCTTTGAAGCATGACATTGATGACTTAGAGACAATGGCTGACCCTGTAATAGAAAAGCTTGTGCAGCAAAACTCTCAAGAAAAGTGAAACAAGGGAGAAATTATCAGTTGCCATTTTAAATACAGTACTACTACTAACACAAGCAAGAGCATATGTTTCCTTTCGATTAAGAAATGAATCCATACATGGATCTTCTTTGTAATTATAAAATCAGTCATATTCATAGTTTTAAATCACAAACGCAGTTGAAAATACAATTGCAATCACGATCACAACTTATTAAGGTGGTAAAATAATGGTCACAATAGACTATATCATGAATATAATAATAGATATTAATAAATATATTCTAATTCACATATTTTTAACAGTTATATTAATTAAGCATAGTAATAATATCTACCAAGTGAGTTGTAAAGAGCAAAAGCTGAATTTTTTTTTTAGTACAAATGTCATTGTATAACAACAAATTACAGCATTACATAATGGTAATGCCATTATTCACCAATATTCATATGAAACAGCAACATGACCCCTATAATGCTAAATAATGGTAATGGGATGCCTCAAAACCTTTATATAACGCCAGTTACATTATGTAATGGCCGTTATTTGAATCTATGGTCATATCTGAGGATGGTTATCAGATAATATTAACTGAATAAAAGATAACGATAGAATTGAGTTAACTTGTGAACTGTGAACAACTGCAGCTAACCATAAAATCAATAGAATTGACTATATACTTGTAAGTAACTGCAGCTAACTATAAAATCAAGCCCCCTAAATCTGAAACAAAGCATAACAAGAGTCCAAGAGTGCAGAATTATGCATTCAAAATAACGAATGATACTATATAAAATAAGGGAGATGTTCTCCTCTAGCACGCATAGCCTAAAGAAGAAGCAGGTGAATAATAAAGGCAAAACTCCTAAACTTACTGGTGTGCTTGTGTGAATTTTCATTTTTACCTTTATATTTCTACTTTAGTCAATTAACCCTTATGTTTTGTGCATTTGTTCAATCAACACTCGTGTTGTTTGAATATGTTCGATTGATCCAATAACTAATTTTTGTAAGTCTCCATGTTAACTTTGCATATTAATTTTGTGACAATTAATTTTTTTCACACTATGAAATGACTTTTCATATTCATGTGGGGCCTATATCACTGGATAAATTATCTTACATTTATTTTTTCAAGACAATTTATCAATATATTAACTTATTTTCTAAGACAATTTATTTAGTGATACAAGTAATAGTATAATTGAGACTTTATATACAATTGTTGGGTTAATTCGACAAATTTAAAAACCACAAGGATTAATTTAACGAATTCACATAACACAAGGGTTAATTGACCATATTTGAAATTGATAATTGACAGAAACACAACGGTAAATTTATGGTTTTCGCTAAGAAAAACATGTTGACCAAGCAACACTTCCAATCTGATAGATGATAGGGATTTTATTGTAACCAAGCTGGTCAATTAATAGCAGAATGCACTGAATCTAATTGTGTACAGCCACAAGACAAACAAATATACTGCAGTATTTTTAAGTGCGATTGGATTTCTCAACCACTTCTGAAAGACAAGCTGTATAGGATACAAATATTTCAGTAATCCCCAATTAGAAAGAAAAAAACTGGACTCACTTCAATGGTTCTATTTTTTCATAAAGAAGAGACCGAATCTTGAGCAGCAAAAAATGAACTTTGAATACCTCACAATTAGAAACGGTGCTACGTTCGATTCATAGGATGGAAGGTTAATGCAATTATAAGAAACATGAGGCACTGAATGACTGATATGTATGTATTATTTTTTAAACTACGCATGTATGGATATCATATATATACATATATATATATATACACAGGCAACTTAGTCAATACAGGCTTCATAAGGTAGCAGGATGCACAGACCTTAAGTGCGCATAGCAATCTTTGCTACTCATAAAGAACTCTAAGCAGACCCAGCAGATGTGTTTCCCACATCTGCATTCAACATGGTCGCAGCCATCTACCTTCTCAATTGTGTATCTACATACTGGGCAGTTCTTTACATGGGCTTTTCCCTGGCACCATTCCTTCAAGGAAACGTCAGGATCCTCCTTAAACTCTCTGTATTTTTCACAAGACACAAACGGATGATACTCCACATGACACCTTGTACATGTGTCGGCATAGCATGCTCCACATACAAATCGATCACCAACCATCCCATTGGATACCCGATATACTGAGAGGCAATCAGGAGACGGGCAAAACCTGTAAGTGCCACCACTAGATGCAATAAAGGCTGACAAGGAGGCTCTGAAGAGAACCTCTAACTTTTCACATGGTAAAAGAGACTTGAGATCTGTAAGCCAAATGTGCATGCCACAACCTTCATGGGCACAGCCTACAGGAAAACCATCATGTCCTCTCATTGATGACTCTAACTGGTCAACCAAGCATGACCGGCAGAATTTGTGCCCACAAGCCTCGAGCTGGTAACAGTCCTCAACCTCACACAGGCAAATAGGGCAGGCAATGTTGTCATCTTCATATCGTTTGACAGATCTGTTAACACCAACAGACCTCGCAAAGTCATGAATCATCTCCTCCACTTCGAGTCTCATATCCTTTTTTCCAGTAAAAGAAATAACATGTCGCCTTGTATTAAGCATAAATTCGGCCTCAGGGAACTTTTCTTTGAGCCCATGCAATTCAGGACCAAACTTCTCAACCACCTTCTTCATAAGATCATATGGCATCACTCCACCTCGAAGACGGATATCTGTTTGCTCCTTATCATGGAGGGCCAGAAGAGATGCTACCAACTTCTGTTCAGTAAGAGCAACTTTGTTCTCGGGGCCAAAGATCCTAACAGTGAGGTTCTGCCTATCAAACAGAATGTAAGTTCCCATTTGTTCCTGCAATGACTTCATGAGCATGATGCCATCTCTGAAGAAAAGAAGCTGCAGAACCATTGGGATGAGGCTACCATGATTTACTGTCCTTCCATTCATCAGCTGCTCCAGCGGCCTTCTCAACTCTGCTACTGTCTTTGTTGCATTAGCAGATATCTTCACTCTATAAGAGCCATTCTCATTCCTTTCTAAATTGCAACTTACACCTGCATGGTCATGGTCAAATTTGACCGCACCAGACTATTGTCAAACCAGGTTAAGGAAATAATAAACAATTGGCATTTCCTGTATTAAATCATAGGACTACGTTAAACAATACGTAAAATGAGGAACAAGAAGTTACAGAATCGATCTACTCCATAGTTGCCGCCATGAGAAACTCCAAACCTAGGGGTGCATGCTCATTTTCTCCATTTGGTTTGGTTTAGGATTTTTCTATTGGGTTTTCAATAATAGAAACCCAACAAAACCAAACCATAGACAAAAACCAAATAATCTGATCCAAAAAAAATAGCTACTCCATAAAAGAAAACCAATAAATAGATCCCAATTTTCGTTATTTTGTAAACATGTGAAGTGGTAAATAAAGATCACAGTAAATCAGATTCCATTGTTTACGCAAAAGCTTCTACTAATAAATTTATAGCAAAAACTAGGGTTCCATCCTTCAAGCATATATCCAAAGAATTCCAGGCTGGTAGAAGAAAATAGGCTGGCTTGCTTGTCTGCATATGACATCGGCTATGAATTAATTCTCCAATTATCAGTTCTTTCCTCTCTGCGTTACTCCACAGGCTACAAAAAACAGGACCAGATCTTGGAAAGAAAACAAGATCCATATGATCTGCCAAAAGAGGTTCCATGACTCTGACACACACTATAACTTCTTCCACCTGTTCCAAGCCATAAGCTTAAAAGCAACCTCTCTAAAATCCACATTCCCTAATCGAAGCTGGTTCTTAATTAATTTAATTTAGGCTGCATAATAACTCCTCCTACCATCACTTACAATACAGACCGATACTCAAGGTCTAAATCACTTTATCATGGTTGAACTAGAATCTCAAATCCCAATCAAGCTTTAAAAACACCATAAATGACCTAAATCAATCTTAAATGCATAAACAACAGGCATTGATAGAATTTCTTTCATGTTGTATTTAATCCTCACAGCCTCACAGCATGAGTCACATTGCTTCAATGGGATGAAAGTAAAAAATAAGATCCATTAAGCACATACCAATATCAGAACCACTGGCTCAATGAGATGAAATAAAAACATTTAAATGTCAAAATAGCTTTTTGAGAAGATAAATTAAAAATTTAGCAGCATAGATCCAGTATAAAAGAATTTATCCATTCAGTCAAAAAAGAACAAGAGCACAATTCTCACAACTTGAATAACAGGTAAAAGTGGAAAATCAACAACTCATATTCACAGAAACTTCCTTCAGAGTGAGAAGAATTACCAGGTCGACACTTAAAGCTTTTTAGTAAAGAATTCAGCTGCCTCTCGATGATTGCATAAACAGCTGCAGAACAGGACACATAGCTATGGAACACCTGTTGGCATTGCATCTTCTGCCATGAAAAACAGCCAGCAAGTGCTTTTCCTTGTATATGTTGCAGAGCTTTAGCTGCCTCCAAATGTAATTTCCCTTCAAAAGAAATCCAAGCCTTCATGAAACTATGTTTTGGCTCCGGGGCAAAAACCTGAACATGGCAGTAATTGCCCAAAGGACCCTGGTTAGGCATGAAAGGAGCAATTTCCTTGAGAATTGCTTGCTCAAAAGCATCAACAGAATGATTATTTACTTCATCTCCTCTGACTAGGAATACTTCTAGAATTCTCCTATTTGTGGTCTTCTGCAGAACTTCAAAAATTTCTGCTTCAGAAGTTTCCTTATCCAATCCTTTGATAACTACAGCGTTCATGTCTCTTGTGCTAGGCTCACAACGAACAAACCTGCCCCCAATCAGTACATTAAAGCAATCATCAACAATAAACTGCACATCATTCCTTTCACATCTGACAATTGCATACCCTTTACTATACCGGCGTGGCCAGCTGATTTTTGCTTTTAGAGCAGCAAATGATGACTTTCGAATACCTCCAACAGATGACCCAGACAGCGACAACTTAAGTACAGAGCCACATAACTCAGATCCATTTAACTCTAGAGCTTTTCTAGCTGCTTCAGGAGTAAGAAATGTCACCCTGCCCCACCTTTCTGCACCATCACCATTCTGTCCAGCGCACATGCATTTGTTATAACCACAAACCCCAGATACAGATTTCTCAAAGAACATCAAAACTTCCTTGTCATCTAACACATTCACATTGGAAAGGTACACATCCACTGTCAAACATCTATTTTCCAACTCCAGATGCTTAATTTCAGCACCAGCTCCAAACAGTGCCACAGGGGGGAAGCACCAGCCCGGACCTCACGATATAAGCACTTCTCCAAGCATTCGGTACTTAACAACCTTTTTTCATAACTCAAGGCATTATTGACAAATTCATAGATCTTTTCAATGTCTGTGGACGAAGCAAACAATCTAATCTCGTTGTCATCCACACTGATTTCAATACCAATGCGTTCATCCATGTAAATAGTACGCATGCGAGAAACAAGTGCTATCAAGCTACTATTGGACTTTCCACAAAACCGTTTCAGGGCAACACCACCATATCCTTTTATCACCCTCAACTGCAGTTTTCTACACTCCATCTTTGAGACATCAAATAAAGGATGACTGAAGGCATATAAACTGTCTAAGTCAATTGCTGTAACACAAACCAAATATTGAGTTGATACAGACAAGAGTTCAGTGAAGACAACCCAATTTGGCTTCTGGTTGTACACTTGTAATGAACATGAAGGGTGAAGTTGAAAGTATTCACCACTTAAAACAACCTCATAACCAAGACGATCATATCCAGAATACATAGCTACATTATCTGCTAGCGAAGAAAGTATAATCTTCTTCATGTTTTTATCATGCACAGAGACAACAAGAGGATCCCAAAGCCAGTAACTTGGAATAATGATACGAAGTTCATTTTGCAAACAGTTTTCCAACTCCAGTACTGTATCTCTGCATCTTCGCATGGTTTTTGCATTGATTCTATTTTCCCAACACCACTTGTTTCTATTCTCTTGACTTATACTCTCCCATTCCCTGTAGACAGAGAGCAAAGTGAAGAGGTCTCCATCATGATGGCAGAACTGGACCTTAAGGCAATCAGACTTCAGCTTATCATCATTGGTACCCACTCTGCAAAAAATGCTACTGGCATTTGCCATAGCAGCAGCAAGGACAACTCCCTCCTTGCACAAACCATAATGGACACTTTCAAGAATAATTTTCCCAATTCGAGGCTCCATACCCAACTTAACTAAGAAATGCCCGTCAGCAGTTAATCCAAAAGCATCATGCTTGCAGACAACAGCACCTAACTGAACAAGGTTCCTGATGGCCTTGTTGATTGCATCCGCATTAGGAGCATCAATAAAATCAAACTCTAGCACATTCTTAATACCTGAGGCAAGGATCCTCAAAACTGCAATGCCAAGGTGAACTTTACAAATTTCAGGTTCCTGATGCAAATCCATGGACTGATAATCAGATTCCGAGTACAACCGGTAACACTTGCCAGGATCTGTTCTACCAGCACGGCCAGCTCGTTGATTAGCAGAACTTTGGCTGATCTTGGAAACTCTGAGTACATTCATACCTGAAGAAGATTCAAACCTGCTATCTTTAACCAAACCAGAATCAACCACATACTTGACACCAGGAATTGTTAAGGATGTTTCTGCTAAATTTGTAGCAAAAATAACTTTTCTCTTTCCAGGGTAGTTCTGGAAAACACGACATTGCTCCTCATGGGAAAGCTTCCCATGTAATGGGAGCGCAATGGCAGAGATAGACTGAAACTTTTCACATGCCCCTTCTACTTCTGCCTGCGAAGTCAAAAAAGCAAGCACTGCCCCATCCCCCTCTACTGCATGAATTTCCATTGCCATCTTAACAACATCAGAAACATATGGAGCTGCATTATTGGAGCTCGGCAAGGAGTCAAGGGACTCTCTGGATGCAGCAGGAACATATTTGATTTCAACAGGAAAGCTTCTACCCAACACATGAAATGTTCTACAACCAAAGAAATAATTGGATAATTTGCTTGCATCAACTGTTGCAGACATTATAATAAGCCGTAAGGCAGGCCTTTCACTCAGTAATTCCTTTAGCAAGCCCAAAAGAAGATCAGTATTCAAGCTTCTTTCATGAGCCTCGTCTACAATAATGCAGGAAACTCCAAACAAATTTTTATCTTTCATGAGGCTTTGCAGTAGACAGTTATCAGTCATATATATTACCTTCGAACCAAAGTCCTGGGCAGATGAATACGTTGGATAGCAGACAATTGAATTATCTTCATAACATCCATTGCATTCTTCACTGACCCTTTTCCCCAGGGATATTGCAGCAATTTTGCGGGGTTGAGTGCACAAAATTGAACCGCCCAATGCCACTCCTGAATCAGCAATAAATTGAGTCAACTGCGTACTCTTTCCTGAACCTGTCTCTCCAATCAACACCATCACCTGGGAGAGAAGGCAAAAGAGAATGACAAAATTCTATCAACACCATCAAAACTATAAAGGCACTCAAATAAACATTCATTTTGAAGTGCAGCTTTTGACAAAATTTAAGTGCTGAAACCAGGGGGAAAAACATTGACTAACTCAAATATTATTTCAACTTTCAACAAAGAAATGAAACAAGGCCAAGAAACTGCAGCTACCAAAAAACAGCTCTAATTTCCATCAGACATACCAAACAAGGTGTGCCTTCATTTGCAGGTACAGATTCAAATATTACTTTAAGTTTGCCAAGTACTAGATTCTTTTTCTAAAGTTGGAAAGCTAATAGCCTGATAAACAGTCCGGATGAGCAAATTAGATGACAATAAATAGACTACTCCATTCACGTTCACATTATAATGTAAATTGTCCTAATGATTATCTTGAACCAGTCTAACATATCAGTAATTATGCCCCAAGACAACTAGATTGGTATCTCAACTAGACAGACATATCCATGGTCGCATTCCTAATCAAGTGCGCGTGAGCCTAACGTAACCTCGAAACAATAAAAAAAGATAGCTCTAGCTATTTCTTCCAATTTTTCAATGTTAAAACCCAAGACCCACCAATTAAAGACTGGAACACAATAACATCCACATTCCATAGTAGCCAAAAGAATATACTAGAAGTATTAAAGATACACTGCTCGTTCAACTGTTTATTTAGGTAAAAAAGCATCCTTAACTCTAAGATACATCACCAAACAAAATCACCTGCATCGAATGGATCGAGAAACTACATGCCAATCATAATCACATATCACATCCAAAACAATCATACAAGAATATGCATAAGCACACTAACTATGCTTAAAGTCAAAAAACAAATCATAATACTCCTTTAAATACAATAAGCATAAACAATTAAGCTTGAAGTCCCAAAAAAAATCAAATCAATCAATGCATATTCCTTTAAATATCATAAAAGCAAACATATCCACACATTCATTTCTAATTACACTCATCATCATACCTGCTGTGAATGCAACATCTTCAAAATCTCACTCCTAAACCCATAAATAGGCAACCCATTTTCAAGCCTTCTACACTCTCTTGATACCAAAAAATGAATCCTACTCCAATAATCAAATATTCTCATCTTTCTCCCATTACTCTCATCACAAACCCTCAAAACCCCAAAGTCACCAATCTCCTTCCCTTCAATAGAATCTATCAAACAGTTCATTCCGTTCCTAAACTCCTCTACCCTCTTCACAACCCCCTCCATTTCCACCCTTAAAACCTCCTTCTTCGCCGTATTCTCACTGTAAACCCTAACTCCTCTCGGCCGCCTCAAAAAGCCCGAAACCTTATCAATTTCCACAGCTAAAGTTTCAATCTTTCTTTCCAATTTCTTCACCACCTCTCCTTCTAACACTTTCTCTACATACAATCGAAACAAACCTCTAATCTTCTCATTCAACTCCGCTTCATTTACATGGAAATCCGCCGACGGAGTATACGCATGGTCTCCAGCCAGCCTCCGTTCCCACAGTGACACCAATGCGGTGATAGCATCACTCTGGTTCTCGAAAAATAGACGGGCGGTGATGGTGGAGATGGGGTTTGGGTACAATTTGTACTGCTTAGGGTTAAATTGGGAAATTAGGGTTTCAAGTGACGATTCCGTGCGGTTATCATGACGGTGGTTGGTGAGAAGTTTGATCACAAAAGGGCTTTGGTGTTGCTGCTGGTTTTGGTAGTTACGGTTGCGGTAGAACTGAGGCGATTGACGGTATTGAAAATGGCGGTTTTTTTGGTGGTGGTTGTTTTGTTGGTGGCACGGGGAGTGGTGGGGGTGGTGGTTCCTGTTGATCATGGTGAGGTTTCACTATCATAAGAACAAGCTTTGATTTTTGTTGAATTTTATGGGAAATTATCAGACTGGAAGTTGCTTGCTTTTTATACTGCTCTGCATGCACTACCCACCTACCACTGCTACTCGGCTGTGTGCTTGTAGTGGCTCATGGCGGTCACCTTAAGGCTTAAGGCAAATACATGCCCGCCCCACATGACTTGCTTCCCTATTATAAGTAGATCTGTTTTCCATGCTATATTATTGGTCGGAAAAAAAGTGCACCAATCCCAACTTTTGGACATCAAGATTAGTTTTTTTTTTTTTTAATGATCGAATCTTGGGTTGAGAAGAGCTTCGTCAATCTATCGGTTTTGATCTTTAACGTTGGCAAACTAGCTTCTCATTTTATGTCTAAATTAATGCATTCATAAGAATTATTCTTTTTTGTTGCTGCTATTTCAATTTGAATATTGGATGATGCAGAGAGATGTCCTTTAATTTCGAAAAAACAAAAACAATAATGTTTACTATGATGGGAAAGATCTAGGATTCCAAACATAGTTTTAAAAAACGATCGTTATATAGTAAAACGTAACGATCATTTCATAACGATATTTTAATTTTAATTTTAGATTATGATAACGTTTATTATAATATGAAAGATGTAAGATTTCAAATATAATTTTAAAAAACTTGTTACATGACATATAATAACGGTTATTTCATAATGAAATTTTTATCTTATGGTATGTTACAATCTGTTTTGTACCAATGATCGAACATTTTGCAAGGATCGTTACCAAAATGGTCATTGTCTTGCGATCTTCATGTGTGTAACTATCATTATACTTTAAAAATTGTTACTTTTTATTTTTTAAAAAAAATAATCTTACCGTTTTTTCCTTAATTTACGCTATTTATTCATAATCAATGGTTTTATCTTCACTAACATATATAAATAATGACCTTAGCATATTAGATATGCTATTGAATTAATATATATTTGTAGGTATTTAGTTGTAGTATATTTTATCACTATAACAAATACATAAAATTTGTACGAGTCCATTTCGTCATGACTAGAACCAAAACAATAGTTTTAAACCATGGTTTCAAGTGAATTCAAATTTGAGAAATTGTTTTGTAGAATAATGTTCGAGTAACTGTTGATTGAAACTAAAAAAATGATATTTTTATCGTTTGTTGTCAATTTTTTATTGATATGAATATCGTGTCACTAATAACGATGATGAACCCGATGAAGAAGAAGAAGATATCCAACATATGCTATAAAAGATGAAAATATACTTTTTATAGTATTTGTTTAGCTTTAAGGATAACTTGATGGTTAAGGAAGTTGTTTTTTTTTTTAGAATTATCAAACCTCAAATAAAATTACGATAAATAAAATTCTCATCTTTTTTAATCCAAAGTTAATAACTTGTCATTTATAAATGGAAAATATAGTCCAAAGATACCATGAATGTAATACCAAAAAAAGAATTAGCTAGTAGCATAATCCTCCTTCCTTACACTAAGTTGATCGTTGGAGGACCCTTCGTCCAATCAGGACCATCACTCTACCAATAGCCATTAAAGAACTACATCATATTTAGAGGTTCAACAATTCTATTACTGGCATCGTTTGTGGAATTTGAACTAAAAGGTAGCATTTAGTTTGTCTTTCTCCATCTTCAAGCTTCTTCCAAAGCACCAAAAAAAAAAAAAAAAAGAAGAAGAAGGAGTCCTAACACCAAGCCATGGGACTATGGTGGACTTAGCTAACTTAAAAGCCTAGTTAACTGATCTCCTCCAATTACAATAGCAAGTTCAGAGGCTGAAGGACGCACCTCTAGCCATGCAAGAACAACTCAAAGCCTTCCACTTCATCTCCAGCACAGAAGGGAATCCATTAGCTTCATCGTGAGAGAAAAATCTTCTACCACCGCTTTTTTTTTTCTTTTTTTTAATATGCATAGATAACTACCTTTTAAAAAAGAAATAGAGGGAGATGTGACAAATTAAAGAGTGAAAAAAAAAAAAAAAAAAAAAAAAAAAAGCACGTTAGAAAAGTTGCTCTCACCAATGCGAAAAGCAGTCAATCAGCCAAAGCTCTTTAGTTGGTGCTCCAAGATATAGACGTCATAAGTAAGATCTTTCCTATTATTTTCAAGGAAACAGTGAGAAATTGGTACAATAACCTGAGTCCGCACTTGGTTTTGTTTGATATATTTGATATATTTATCACCATTATTGGCCTTGTTTCGTGAAGAGTGGTGGCCTTTTTTGAAAAAAAGAAAAATTTGTGTTGTGATTGGGGGTTAATGTAGTTCTAAGTCATTTGATTATTGACTTCTTGTTATTAATGAGGAATTGCTATATGGCCAATTTTCTTATCACCATTATATTTGATATATTTATTGACTATGAGGAATTGCTATATGGCCAATGATACTTGTAGGAACTAATTAATATTTGATATATTTATTAATAAAAAAACATTGCTTACAAAATTAATTAATAATACAACGAAAATGGACAAAAACGATTTAAAGTTTGTTATTTGTCATCCATGTAGGATTTTAGACATTTACAATATGTTTGGGGTTATTAATGAGGTGATTAATTGAGTCATTGTATGAACTTTATTTTGAAAAGAATTCCTAAAAATATTATAATGAATAATAAATAGGTTTGATGTTTACGAAACAAATAAATTTTTAAAAATGATCATTTAAACGAATGAATACATAGTCATGAAAAACAAAAAAAAAAACAAATCAATATTGGCAAATAATGTGATACCTCGGACTCCAAACATTCCTATGCATCAATTTGTTTATAAGTTAAGTAAGTGTATGTTAAACTTTGTGCTTACTTTAATGAATGCTTGGTATTACAAATGCATGTTACTAAATGTTGTGAGTATCCGAGTGATTAGGAAACCTAAATGTAACAATTAAACAATTGGAGACTTAAGTGGAATAAGTGATAAAGTAAAATGACTAGTATGTAAAATTATTCAAACTTGAGGGACCTAAGAAATAACTTGAATAAGTGTTCCATACATATGTAAACCTAAAACTAAAGCTTAATTAGTATCCTACAATTGTTAGTCTAGGTTAGTCTAGATTAATCTAGAAAGTTCTAAAGATTAAGTCTTACATACTTAATATCTAAGGATAAGTGTATTGATTATGTAAAAACAATCTAGAAAATACAAGTACTTAATATCTAAGTATAATGTAAGCATAGAAAACATATTTAATATAATAATTCTTAACAAGGGTACTATGATAGATAAAATTTGAAAATAAAATCATATACTCTCCTTTCCTAAGAGATCGTCTATTTTTTATTCGTATCTGTCTCAAAATGATTATTTGGAAAAAATTGTAGAGATATATTTTTCTAAAATACCTCTAATTAAAATATATTTTGTAAAAAAAAATTTCCAAATACAATTTTTTTTAAATGATATAATCTTTTTAATTTTTGTGAAAAATAGAAGAAAACAATCTCTTTAGGAAAGAGAGAGTACATATTTCCTACCTATTTAATTGATTCATTGAACGAACACAAAACAAAGAAAAAAATATCTAATGTAAAGATGGTGAAGCACATCCTATATTCTATAAATAAAAACCATTTGGATTTTCAAATTATTTGAATTTTTTTTGGATAATATCACAACAAACGCACATTTAACCGTGTATCTATTATGCTAGATAATATTTTACAAATTATGAGATAGAATTTCCATATACATATATATATAGAGAGAGAGAGTTTATTCAGAATTTGGATGTTACATTCTAGTACTTACTATGAAATGTGTTTCGTATAATTGCTAAAAAAGAAAAAAAAACTTAAATAAATCCACAAAGTAACAAAACCAAGGAACATAGATTTAATCCACCATATCCAATCCAATTAAATGTGGACTACACTACAGTCCACCTTTGTGACTAAAAGCTTGCAAGTGTCATTAACTTGACTAAAACAATTTGATTATTGTATAACAAAAAAAAAAAAAAAAAAAAAAGAGTTACAGATAGTGATGATAGTTTACCAAATAATTTTCCCAGAAAAATGTTTCAATAAATAAATTTTATTTGTTAAACAATTAGTTGTTGTAATGAATTAGAAACACCTAGAAATAAGATCCTAAATCTCAACATAAAAAATACACTAACCATGTATTTTCTAATATTTAATGTGAGCGCAGAAAACATATTTAATTTTATAATTCTTAACAAGGGTACTATGACAGATAAAATCTGCAAATAAAATCATATATTCTTCGTTTCCAAAGAGATCATCTATTTTTTATTCATAACTATCTTAAAATGATTGTCTGGACAAAACTATAGTGATATATTTTTCTAAAATACCTCTAATTAAAATATATTTTGCAAAAAAATGTCCAAATACAATTTTTTTAAAAAAATATTTTTGAAAAGTATAAACAAAATAGGATGATATGATATAATTTCTTTTAATTTTTATGAAAAATCGAAGAGAACAATCTTTTAGGAATGAGAGAGTACATATTTCCTGCCTATTTAATTGATTCATTGAACGAACACAAAACAAAGAAAAAAATATCTAATGTAACGATGGTAAAGCACATCCTATATTCTATAAATAAAAACCATTTGGATTTTCAAATTATTTGGATTTTTTTGGATAATATCATTTATATCCTAAGTATAATTGGACAGATTTGTTGTTAATAATTAGAACATTTTCACTAGAATTAGAAGAGTTTTTTTATAAAAAAAAACAAGATACTTTTAAATCTTATTTATAAAAATGAGGTTGTTTTAATCTTATTTATCAAAATAAGGTACATTTTGCCATGTAGATCAAATTACCTACAGGTGTCGGGTTTTTTTTTTTTTAATGCTAAATTTTTCCAGCATTAATTGTCGACCAAAGATTAAGGAGTAACTTCACTGCTGAATGAATGGAAGAGTTTATACAGTTGATGCTCCAATGTGTGGAACCATCGAGTGAGAGACGACTAGCCATGGGTTATGTGGTAATGGAACTTGATCGTATACTTGAGAAGGAGATGAACTTGATGACAGTCACAGGGGAAGGAACCCCAACGGTGACCCTTGAAAGCCACTTATTTAGAGCAACCAAATAAAACAAATTTGTTTTCCTTCCAAAATATTTTAGATTCGAATCTTAAAAATTAAAGATTAATTTAAAAATTGAAAAAAAGAAGACATTTTTATTATACAACCCAAAATCGATACGATATCTTCATAAAAAATAATAATAAAAAGAAAAAAGCTATTGATCGGTACGTGCATGTTGCATATGGACAGTTGAAAATATATCTTGCCGTCGGTAAAAATTGTTATTCATTCAAAATATTTTAGATTTCTTAAAGAAAGTAAAAAAAGAGAGTAAAAAAGAGAGTTGCTTAGTAAACTTAGTGAAGAAACATCGGTGAAAGTGTATGGATGCCTGACCACTACCGTTATTTGCTAATTCCGACGTCCTTAAACTTATTCATCCAAGATTTATCACATCAATTATAAAAAACATATCTTTTTTCTTCTTACGTACCAAGATTCATGAATTAAGATGAACGAAGGAAAAAGTACGGATCTAACATGTCACAGCAAATTTAGTAGCACACAGACATACGGCGTGGCTAAATCCTAGAAAGATCACTAAGGAACATTTCTCTTCCCACTTTCTAGGAGAAGTGACATGAGTACAAGATCCAAAGAGTTTGCAAATACTAAGGATTAGATTTGCGATATATATATTCTCGTATTTATTTTTCACAATTGGAATATATTTTTAGTAAAGAGCAAGAAAACAATTTGATTTGTTCTAGATATTTATCCCAAAAGCCAAAGCTGAATTATATCCCATATGTAGCAAAATAAAAAAATTAGATCTTGAAAATGAGAGACATGGAGCTATTTCAAAATTTCGTGGGCATATTGCATCCATAACATCTGCATGGGGTCATCATCGTTGTTAGCTAAAGAATAACATAGAGACAACCATCAAGGGGTGACACAGCGACAAAGACTTGGTATCAAGGGATTTGCTCCTCTCGTGGTCTTGGATTCGAATCCCGATTGTTTCTTTTGATAGCCACTAGAGGCTTACATAATTGTTAACTTTAGGATCCGCAGGATTAATCGAGATACACATAAATTGACCTGTACACCCGCATTATTAAAAAAGCAAAAAAACAAAGGCCTAAAGTAGAGAATAAAAGAAGAATTGATCGGATATCTTAACAATCGCGACTTAAGAATTGAAGCATTTTCACAAATAGCGTTATGAGACATAAAAATATCATTGTTGAACTTTTTATTTGCATTATTATTTTTATTAATTCATCAAAAGAATTATATGTTATCAATTTGGTTAATTAAGCATTTGGATTTTCGATTTTAATCAATTCATTATCGTTTGCTTAAGTGGAAAAATGAACTATTCAATAAAAAGGGTGGGATGAGTAATGATATTAACACGAAAAAAATAAAGTTAACAATAATGAATCATGCAATGAAAAAGAGTATTCAATTGACTAAAATAAAATTTAAACTTAAAAAAAATTATATTTAACTAGCTCAAATTTAAAATATACATGTTCAATAACCAAATTAATATCACATGGACTTTTTTTATGAATTAATATCAACAAAAAAATACTTTAGCGTGATTTAAACTCATGAACATTCGAAAAGGAAGCATGGTGAGCAAACCAACGGTATGATTAGATCTGAAAAAATAAACATCTCAAGTCCACGGGACCAAAAAAAAAAAATCACAATTTACTATCAAATACAAGTTTCGTATAAACAGAAAAAAAAATCTAATTTTTTCTAAACTTGAAATTAATAAAAAGTAAAATAAAAGATCATAATGTTATTAGTTACTACCTCCTAAATTAACTATTGCCTTTAATATATACTCATTGATGGCTCCTAAATTACCAAATTACAAGGAAATTAAAATTACAACAATCAATCCAAAATTCGTGAAGGAAAAATGGATCGCACTAAACTAATTAACCCCACATTGGCTAGCACAAGCTAAGAATTAAGTTTTATTTAATTTCTTAATAAAGGAGATGGAGGCTTAAAATGGAAACAAACCTAACATTGCACAGAGATTCTTACGAACCAGTCTTTTTTTTTTTTTTTTTTTATGGGAAAATTAAGAGACTTTACTCTTGATTTCTAAACCCTAAACCATTGAATTGAACATTCCAACATTAGCCTAAACAAGCTCCAACTTGTCTACCACTCAAAGCACAAGAGAACCCCAAAAAAAACCCTGCTACTCACTCTTTCTCTTTAGAACCGGTTCCAGCTTTCACGAGACATGGGTCATGGAAAATCCCAAAAAGAAAAAGAAACCCAAAGCTCAAATCTTGACTTTTGCTTTTGTTGATCCTTAACTACGGCAGTCCCAATCATCATGATTCCTTGAAAGCACTCTAGAGGTTTTTTTTTTTTTTCATTCTCAATTTATTTTTTATCCGTAATTAAATTCTTTCATCTTTCATCTTGTTGATTAATCTAAAACGACGCAAAAAACATATAAAATCATTAAAATAATAACACGTCTTAAAAACTTTAAATACAGAACATGTGTTATTATTTTATGATTTTGTATGTTTTTCAAATATGTCTAATGTATTTTAAAATTGATTAACGGAACGAAAAAAAAAAAACTTAATTACGGACTAAAAAAAGGTTTGAGAGCAAAATTAGAAAAAAAATCAACTTTGTTCTTATTGACCAACAATTTAGGATATTTTATAACCAATTAACTTTTTTTTATTAGAAAAAAAAATCACCGGAATTTCACATGACTACATAGTTCTGTTAACTAAAACTAGTAAGAGGATTCGATTGAAAAACCTATTGATACATAGGATACTTAGTTGAGATAGGAAAATACATGGGGACCTAATCGGGATTGAATTTATAAGTTGGGGATTTTTTTAGGGTTATTGATTTATTTATTTTATATATAATACTCGAAAGCACACAAAATGGCAGAAGTGGCTTTTAACGGGGTTCGTTCTAACAAGAATAACGGACTTGGAAGTGGGACCAGTCCAGAGAGAATCCATGTATGCTCTGTAGAATTCCAATTCCCAGCAGACTTTCCATGCATTCCCTTTCGCAAAATTGAATGCTTTGTTTCCACCATTTCTTCTTCTTTTTTTCCTCCTTGCATTTTTTTTATAACCATTTTTTTAAATACAACTCTCTATTTCCTTCTGATTTTTTGTAGAAAATTCACAATAGTTCATTGCTAATTATTTTCGAAGTGCTAATCACCACCCGAAAAAAGAAAAATTGCTGATGCAAAAATTTTTGGACTTGAAGATGTTTTACTTATTTCTTTTGTAATCTAAAAGATAAATATTGAATTTGAGAGTATAATTTTAAGTTTTACCTTTTAAAACAAATTCAAAATAAAAAATTAGAAGCAAACATCAAATTTTAAAACAAATTCAAACTAAAAAATTAGAAGAAAACATCAAATATATCATTATTATTATTTTTTACTTGCATATCCAAAGCTCTTGTTAAAAGAGATCATTATCGATGGACTATAAGCTTTTTGATAACATCAAATATATTATTAAACTATAACAACATCATCAATTTTCTTTCAAATTATTATTTTTTAATCAATTTTACACTTATACTATTTTAATTTTTCAATTAAGAACTTTTGTTAAAATGATTTTTTAAAAATGTTAATTTTCTTACACATTATGTATTGCCAAAAAAAAAAAAAAGTACAATTGAGATGAAAATGTGAAAGAAAAACCTTAAAAATGAATGAAAATTTTTAATGGAGAATTTCTGAAAATTTAATCGTAAAATTGATATAAAAATTATTTAATGGTAACATTGAAACAATCAATACAATGGTGATAAGAAAATTGGCCATATAGCAATTCCTCATTAATAACAAGAAGTCAATAATCAAATGACTTAGAACTACATTAACCCCCAATCACAACACAAAATTAAAAAAAAAAAAAAAAAAAGCCACCACTCTTCACGAAACAAGGCCATAAACTCTCACTAACGACTCTACATCACCAAAACGGCAGCGAAGAGACCAGCAAAAAAAGACCCACCAACGGCAACTCTGTTCAAAACGGCACCGTTAGCCGATGGACCAGGAGCGTCAGATGGCGATTTGGAGATAATGGAAGGAGGAATAGTAGATGCTGTAGATGGAGAAGCTGATGCTGGAGGAGGAGAGCTGATGGTGGTGGGAGATGGTGGGGATGCAACAGGAGTAGTGGTGGTGCTCTTGGGTGCAGGTGCAGAGACTGGAGGGCTAGAAGTTGGAGGAGAAGAAGTAGTAGCAGGTGGTGTAGCCACCGGACTTGGTGGTGGTGCAGATGTTGGGGTGGTGGCACTCTTGGGTGCAGGTGCAGAGACTAGAGGGCTAGAAGTTGGAGGAGAAGAACTTGTAGCAGGTGGTGTAGCAACCGGAGTTGGTGGTGGTGCAGAGGTTGGGGTGGTGGCTTGTGGTGGAGATTTTGTGGGAGAAGAAGTTGGAGAGGAGGTTGGAGATTGTGCCATGGTTGAGGCGAAGAACAATGACATTAGCATCAAGACTACAACCTTTGAGCCGGCCATTGTTAAAGAGAAGAGTTAGAAATAGAGTTCACAGAAAGTTAAGAGCCCAAGAAGAGCAGGAATGGCTTGAAGGAAAAAAAGGAGAGTGATAGAGAGTATTTATAGAGGTGTGTCTCTTCAATCAAACGGTGAATGTTGCTCTACAATCAAACGGTGAATGTTGCTCTAAAAGAAGATTATTATTATTATTTATGATTGAATTTCAAATTTAAATGAATCATATACATTTTCGAATACATTTATGACAGTCTTCTTTAATTTTTGAATTCAAAATCGTAATTATGTGAATTGTTTATGTTCCATTGTTACAAATTAAAAAAAAAAAAAAAAAAACCTCATCAAATTAATGCATAAAACAAACTTCAATTCTACGTGAATAAGTGTTGTCCTAAAAACACTGGTTCAAGTGACGAAGAAAATGGTCATTTCAAAAACTCTCAATCAAATTTCACCATTAATTTCTTTAAAATGTGGTACTTTGCTATTTCAATAACACGATTTAAAAGGTACTGTTAAATCAATAATTAAATTTATTATTTTCACCACTTTTTTTAAAACAAATTCCCAACATAATTTTCCCTCTATGTTTATTATTATATCATAGTTAAATAAAATTTATAGTCTCTCGTCTTAAAAAGATCTTCTACCTTTCTATTTATATATGTTCTAACATATTAGTCTGGTCAAAATTATAAGTTATATATTTTTTTAAAATACATCTGATTAATTAAAGTTCATTTGGTAAAAAAAAATATATCCAAATACAATTCTAAAAAAAAGATTATTTTTAAAAAATATTAGCAAAGGCAAAAAAATTAATAACTTTCTTAATATGTGTGAAAAATAAAATTTGATAATCTTTTGGGATAGAAGGAGTATTAAATATCTAAAATGTTCATCAACATTTTTTTCTTTTCGTTTTTTATTTTATTTATTTTTGCTTTCATGCATATTTAAATTTTTAGATATGTATATAAAATATGTTTAATTTGATATATTAATAAATATCAATATAGAGAGTGTATTTCTAATTTTAAAAAGAGAAAAGGTCGAAATAAAAAATTTGATGGTGAATTTAGCAATATTTTTTTAATTATAAATTCTTACAAAATGGATTTTAATTAGGGATATATATTGTAGAAAAAATCTTATTTAATATTTAGATAAAAAAATTTAGAACAAATAAAAATAGAAAGTAAGAAAATGTTTTTGGAAAGGAGGGATTAAATGGTTCAAAATCCAAATTTATTTCCTATTTTAGATGAATAAAGAAAGTAATGTCAGGGGTCATAATTAGTGGCCAACTAGTCAGGCAAATATAGACGGTTTGGCGTGCGTTATTTGTGAGCGAAGCCACCCAGGTTTGTGGACGGTCACTACGGTACAGGTGTACATTGATCATGAACGTACACGTGCAGTGGTATCATCAATGTAAATTATCTTGAACCGTCCGTTTCATTAATATTTTAGTCGATCAAAATATTGTAACGGCCAAGAAATAGAAAATCCCAACTAGGAGGGACCACTTACGTGGAAACCTGTTACCAGTTGGAAACCTAAGTGATAAGTTTTAGGACTCTCTTGTCTTTTTTTCTTTTTTCTTTTTTGCTGTCTACTAAAAAGTCAACAAAATCAAAAGGCACTAACGTACGAACATCTTCTTTTCTTTTCTTTTACTCTGCATTGATTTATGTGTCCTTGAACATTGCGTGATGTGTGGGTCCCTTTTTTTTCTTTTTTATTTTATATTAAAAAGCATTTTAAAACTAATTTATGTATCAACGAAGAGTTTTTTTCTCCAATAATTTTTAAAACGAGTTCCTATGTATTTTTTGTTATATAAAAACTTGATTTATTTATTTTACATAGTTAAAAAATATTTTTTCATAACAATATGGGATATATGAATTATTTTTATAATAAATCTTATATTTTTAGAGAAAACAATACAACTATTAGCATACCTAATAATTTATCTCTACAAAAAGCATTGCCGTACAAACAAATCAATTATAGTAAAAAAAATTTAGCACTTACCAATCAATTTTTTCCACAAAAAGTTATATCATTGTCTTTTTTTAAAAAAAAAAAAATTCAAACCCAAAATTCAAGAAGAGAAAGAAGGGTGGTGGCCATAAATCCTCCAATACAAATGAAAGATATAATAAATAATTAGAGCCTTAGAGTTTTTTATGGGAAAGTTAATTTGATTGATCCTATTTTTTCAATTTTAGAGTAAAACAATGTACAAGTAAATTACAAATTAGCTGTCCTAGTTTTACAAAATAAATTAAATAGTCTATATTTTTTGAAAAACTAATTAATTAATTTCTTAGCTGTAGACATTTTCCTTATTATTTATTATATCTTTCAACTGTCCAACTGTCATAATTTCTTTTTACTTTTTTTTATTTATTTTAATAAATGGAAAACATTGAAAATAATCAAATTACAAATTAATAGACTTAAAAAAATAGAAAGTAATTATTTTAGCTATTAAAACTAGAGACTATTTAATTTTCATTGAAAAATTAGAGAAACTAATTATGATTTACTCAACAACATGCAAGATTGATGATGTTCCTCGTATTTTCGTTTCTTGTTTTTGAGAATGATTGATGATGTTTCTTGGAATCTTTCCAAGGTTGTGCCAAAAGGAAATTTTAGTTTCATTATTCAAATTACAAGAGTTCCAAAACTATTTCCCATCTCGTTCAGCTTCAAAAATGAGATCGAAGAATTTGCAAATTTAGTTGATTTTTTTTTTTTTTTTTTTTTTTAAGAAATCTTGCACAAAATAGATCCAAATTATGACCAGTTTATTACCACCTTAACATTTGCTGCTTCTTTCTTTTCCAGGGGAAATAATTGCTTTTTGAAGGCCTTAATAAAAATGAAACACCAACAATGATATAAATATTATATTTTGAATAAATAAATCGATAATAAAGCAATGTAATCAGAAGGGGAAAAAAATAGTACATCAATTGAAAAAAAAATTATAGAGCAAATATAATCCCTAATCCAATCCACTCTAAAGCACCAAAACGGCAGCGAAGACAGCAACAGCAACAGCAACAGATCCACCAAAAGCAAATCTGTTCAAAACGGCACCGTTGGCAGGACCAGGAGCTTCAGCTGGAGAGCCGATGGTAGAAGTGGGGACAGTACCAGTCGAGGGAGCAGGAGAACCGGTCTCTGGAAGAGGAGAAGGAGGAGAAGAGACGGTGGTGGGGGATGGTGCATTTGCTGCAGGTGGTGGGGTTTTCAACGGAGAAGGTGCAGATTTCGGTGTTTTCACGGTGGTTGGTGCCGGAGCAGAGGCTTGTGGTGGTGGGGTAGCGACTGGTGGTGGTGATTTGGTGGGTGACGATTTAGGCGAGGATGTTGGAGATTGTGCCATTGTGAAGCCCACGACATATGTGATTAGCATCAAGAAGACAATGCTTTTGCTTGCAGCCATTTTTGTCGAAGAAAAGACAGAAATGACAGAAAATAAGCTCTGAGAGAGGAAGAGTGAGAGTGTGAGAGAGAAAGAGAGAGACAGACAGAGAGAGAGATTTGTTTGTGTGAGCAAAGTGTGAGAAAAAACAGAGGAAGGAGGAGGGTATATATAGGGAGGTTTCAAAGAGAGAGAAGACTTTTGGTCAATTTAAGAGCCGTTGGATTTTTTTGGTTTTTTACGCGGATTCTTTTTTTTTTCCTTTAAATTTACACGCATTCCGAGGGTCATTAACGGTAATGAAATTTTTTTTATTGAAAGACAATAATAATTACACTGTATTAATTATTATTGAATATGATTAAGCATATAGCTTATCATAATACGTTATTTATTTTTAAAAAATATATTTTTCAGGAGTCATGATTTTATACGGCCAAATTTCAAATATCGAAAATTAAGTCACATTTTGATGTGGATTTTAAGAAGGAAAAAAAATCCTACATATGTGGTTTCAAGATAACATTAATGATAATATTAAAAACAAAATGTTAGGAATAGTTTGGTTTAAAAAATGGCTAGGGGTACTAATAATTTCTTAATGTAAAAATATTTTCTTTCTCAGACAAAATAATATTTTGATCATACTAACATGTGCAAAAGTTTAATGTTTTTTCTTCTTTATTTTTTCAGAACAAATGCGTGGAAATTTTATTATAATCTATTTTTAATTATATAAGAATATTATGTAATTAATAGTATTATTTTCTTTATGTGAGGTAGAAATTGTGTTTAATATGTGCAAAAGTTTAATTTTTTTTTTAAGAACAAATGCGTGGAAATTTTATTGTATTCTATTTTTAATATGATATTTTAAATTATATAAGAATATTAGAGATTAGATAAAAACACGGTTTTGAGTCTTTGGTAAAAAGCTCTAAAAAGGTGTAAATCACAGTTGTCAAATGAATCAGGAACGTACACGTACATAAGAAGTTTTGAAAGTCGGAAAAATGTAGGGACCGTTAAGGTAAATGGAGAACCTTTGCCATGTGCATAACGGTCGAAAAGGGAAAGCGTGTCCGCGTAGAAGTGCCGCGTGGTCTTTATTTGGGAAATAAATCAATATTTTAGGACTTATGATCTGTAAATACCATCCTTTTATTTTTTTTAATTTTTTTTAGTTCATAGTTCGGGTCGTAGCAACAAAAAGAGGGAGAGGTACAAACAAACAACTCATACAAAATTAACACCACCGTTATTGATTTTTATTTTTATTTTTAATGGGAAAGGAATCCGGTTTGGTATATAGATCTAGTTTCATTTGATTATGGATTAATGGTTCAAATGTCTTTTAATTGTTTTGTTTGTCTAATCGTATCTATTTACCAAAATTTTCATTAGTTGCATCCCTTTATTTTAATTGATGTCTTAATTTTGTTCTGTCATGAAAAAATTTAAATAATGACGTCAATTTTTAACGACAGTACATAAGATGTTGACATATGATAATTTTTTGAAAAAAATAAAATTTTTAAAAAGAAAAAAAAATCTCAAAATGCTCATCTTTTTCTCTCGTTTTTTACTTATGTTCTTACATTATGAAAAAATTTTCATAAAAAATTTTCTTTGGATTTGGATTTAAAATAAATTTATGGGAAAAAAAGTATTCCTTCCTAAACATAAAAAAATTTTCTTTTTTGCTTTAGTTTTGAGAGCAAAAAAATTGAGGGATAAAATTAATCATTTACTTCTATACATAAAGAAAGAGAAAAAAGGAAGGTATTTTGTGAATTCTTATTTTTTTCAGAAATTTATTTTTTAAAAAAGATTATCATGTGTCGAGCATCTTGTGTGTCCGTCGTCGAAAATTATTGCTTGCTACTCGAAAATTTGGACGAAGGGACGAAATTAAGATGCCAATTCAAGTAAAATGAGGCCATTAATAAAAAATTTAGTAAAGATAATGACTAAGACAAGCAAAACAGTTAAAGGACATTCTAAACCATTAACCCATATGATTATCATATAGTAGGGAAAAATTATTCGATTATTTTACAAAACTAATGAACCTACTCATTGAGAAGTTATTTCACACATGAAAGAAAAAGAGACATATGTTACACCTAAATTTGATTGGGGTCTCATAGCCCAACAAATTAATTAAGGTCTAATTAGACTTTGGTCACAAAGCCCATGTTATAGGCTATTAAAAGCCATTAGTAGGCCCAATGTTAAATCCATAAAGTAAGTTCATCCAAAAAGAAAGCTAAAAAGAGCCTTATACTTGAAAGACGAGAGAGACCTCTAATATAATTCTAAACGAAATTGCATCATGAGCAAAGATCGTGAAAAGTCAAGTCCTATTAAAAAAAAAAAAAAAAAGCTAACAAATAACTAATTCAAATGATTGGAGCATAAGCCGAAATAAGAGGAACGTGGTAATATTACAACGAATGAATGAGATACCGGAAGACATAGATCATTACAACCCAAGATAAACATAAAGCATTACATCTCAAAGAAGGAAGTTACGAGGTATTGCAACTCAAGAATGTGATTAGTAAAAAAGAATGTAGAAGGATGCAAAGACTATAAATATTAGTTACAATAAAAGAAAAAAACACACGGAACAAACACATACAACAACAAAATTTTACAAATTATTAATATCATCTTTCAAATCATTTCAACATTCGAAACACGGTAGGTTATAATTAGTAGGTAGTAATAGTAGATCGTGCAACACCTCGAATCTAGGACCTAAATAGATTGAAGATATCAACTGTCATGTCTTACAATAATTATAAGGCACAAGGCATTATATCTTTCTTACTATATTATTAATTATGGTTTTTGCTACGAAGCTCATTAAATAGTTAATAGGTCCAACTTCACTTACAAATTTCAACTTAAAAAAGTACTATTAATTTTTTCTGTTTTAACATTTCATTTTTAATAGCATAAACTAAAATAATTTGATATGTGTCTTTTATTTTTGTCAAATTCTTTTTCTTAAAGGCATAATAAATCTATTTAGCTAATATCATTTAATTGATTACCTAAATTTTTTTCCTTCATTAATTATTATCCTTTATAAAGATAATTATATCATTTATTCCTATTCTTTTCTTATTATTTCCATTTCCATATCCACCTAATTTCCCTATTATGATCAGACGGTAATATGTAATTATTGAACTAAAAAAAGCTATAACTACATGGTAGTGTAGGTGTTCAAAATCCAACTCTGTTTGGATGATTTGATTTATTGTAACATTATATTTTTATATTAATAAAAGAATTTTTTTTATTAATTCTTGTTATTTATAATTTGATAGAATAAGATAGAAGTCCATATGATATGCATTGTATTAATGATTGATTAATTGATGTAAAAAAATATTAATGCATTTAAATGATATCATTAAATGTCTCAAGTCGTAATATTGTTATGAATGGGCATTAACAACATGCGGTAAGACTTGAAGGTGCTATGCTCTTACTATTAGATAGTAGTATGAGCTCTCACATTTATCGACATTGTGATGCCAAAGTAAGCACTCAAGTGAATAATGTTAGAGAACATATATCACTTGGACGTGACTCGTCATGAGAACCTATTTATTTTAGTTTATGAGAATCTCATACGAGATAGATACAACTAGTCCTTTGACTTGAAGTTATCACGGTTATCTCATTAAAGAATTGATGTAATTTGACATTCGTTTTGATGAGCTCAATAAAGAGCTCTATGTGGGTGATTCGTTGGGTGCATTAGGATCTAATAGAGATATATGGACGATTGAGATAGGACATGTCATTCCTTATATGCTAAAAGTGTTATCATATTGCACATCGATGAATGTACGCTCAAAGAATTTATAACTACAATAGAAGTATACCAATATAGCATAATTAGTTTACTTATGAGCTAAGACATTTGGAGATCGAAGAAAACTTATATGATCATAATCGAATAGACTATAAACCAAATTCAAGATTATACTTGTGATAAATTGACATGAGGATCGAATTATATGGAAACCATTTTTGTGAAAGGTAATTGCAGATTAATTAATCCTCTTAGAGAATTGGGTAGTCATGATGCCTTGCTAGAGGTCAATCTTGATTTATGTAGCAAGAGATAAAAGAGGTGTCTTTTATCTTCTTGATACATTGTCAACATATCTAAGAGCCTATTGAGTCATATGCATATGTTTAAACATTCACACGATAAAAGAAAAGCAAATTTTATTGAAAAAAGTTTCTTGTTATGGAAATTTTTCTATTTTGGAAAGTCAATTTCCTATTTTAGAAATTTGTTTCCTAATTTGGAAGTCAATTTCAAATTTAGAAGAAAGTTACCTAAAAAGAAAATTAGTTTCCTAATTTTAGTTTAAGGGTAATTTAAAAAATTATTTCTTAATTTTAGCCCCACTAAATACTTAACTCAATTTATTTAGATTGGCCCAATGGTCCAAATTAATTAGGCCAATTGGTATAATTTAAAAGTCTACAAGATATTTTGATAGAAGGATAAACTTGAGCTTTATTGGATAATGCTTAGGATTTATAAGGATAAAGTTAGACAAAGTCCACACAAACAACATCTCCTTGACCTATAACAAGGAGAAGTTGCCGCCCTTATGAGTAAAAAGAAAAGGAGAGGCGGCGTAACATATCGGAAAAGAAAAAGGAAGAGCATTCTCTCCCTTGAAAAATTTGACCACCCTTTCTCTCTCTTTGGTATTGACGTAGATTATCCTATAGGATTTCTAAAGAAAAATTCACTACAAAGAATAGTTGGAGCTAGCACACAACGATTTTTATTACTTCTAGTGTGGGTGTATGAATTGCGTGGATAATCAATAAAGGTAGGATACTTGGATAATTCCTTTACGCTTGAATTGTTTCGCACTACAAGAGGTAATCACTCACCTTAATCCGATTCATATTTATGTATGATTAGTTAATTCAATGGTATGATCTTGGTGTTAATGTAGGTGCCCAAGATGCAACCTATTTGAATGGTTTGATGTATTGTAACATTGCATTTTTTATATTAATAAAAGAAGTCTTTTTATTAATTCTTTTTATTTATAATTTGATAGAATCGGATAGAAGTCTATATGATATACATTATATTAATAATTGATCATTTGATGTGAGACAAATATTGATGCGAGACAAATATTGATGCATTTAAACAATATCATTAAATATCTCAAGTCGTAGCATTTTCAAGATTGGATATTGAATAATGTGATGAATTATTTGATAATTTGAGTAAATTATAAATTAGTCCCTTTAGTTTCGAATTAAATAGTTCCCCTTCTTCAATAACTAATTATTTAATCACTACGAGTTTTAGATTTTCTAGTAACTTCATCATTTTTTCTTGTGTTCAATTTATTTTGATTTTTTGTTTTAAGAAATAAAAAGAAAAACATAAGTAAAAAATATAAAAAGATTGATGAGAAAAATGACATTTGATCAAATCAAATTAAATTAAATTAAAGGTGATAAACACTATAAGAGACTAAATATTTAGTTTTTGCAACAATGGGTATGAATTAATTATTTTCTAAAATAGAGAGACTAATTTATAATTTACTCTTTATTATTCCAAGTAACATTTTTTAACTCTTTAAATCCGAGCTCTCATAATCGATCAAAGGCTAAGCATGATCTTATGCTGACCTAGCTTAAAAAATGATGGGTTTAGTATCGATTGATGCAAAAGTTAGTCCAATAATTCTCTTTATATATATATATATATATATATATATATATATATATAATATATATAGTACTATAATAAAGAGAAAATGAGTTTCAATTTCAATTATGTGATGCCATATGGATTGCTGATTTATTAATTTAGTTTTTGTTTTTTTTTTTAATTTGAAGATAGGGGTATTTTTGGATTAGTTTGAACGTCAATCGAGACTAAGTATATTTCTAGACAATTTTAAAGACGCATCCTTTATATCGGTTTTGATGCATTCAAATTAATTTAATAAATTACTCTCTATTCTGTGATCAAGAAATTGAATATAAAAAAGTCAAGGAAGTGAGTAAATTTTCTTAACAACTAATGTACCAACCGCTTGGAGTTGTTATTAATTTACTTAACAACTAGTGTTGTTTGCATATTTAGATCAAATTCATTCATGATAGTAATATATGATGCATCTCTTAATTTAAGTACAAATGTCGTGTATATCATAGGTACATATGAGAAAGATGATCTCAATTTTGATACATGAAAATTGATATAAAAATATTTCTTAAAAATAGTCAAAATTGAGAAAATATATAAACCTAGATAAATAAATATTTACCATAATTAAGTAAACACTGTGGCAAAATATGTTGCGATGCCATTCTCCCCTCTCCCTCTCTCTCTCTCTCCCTCTCCCTCTCTCTCTCTCTATCTCTCTCTCTCTCTCTCTTTTTTTTTTTTTGCATAATGTGATGGATTATTTGGTTATTAAAGTAAATTATAAATTACTCCCTCTAGTTTTGAATTAAATAATCCCCCTTGCTTCATAAATGAATTATTTAATCCCTATATTTTTAGATTTTCTAGTAACTTCATCTTCTTTGTTCATTTTCAATTTATTTTAATTTTTTTTTTAAGAAAGAGAAAAAATAAGTACAAAATATGAAATAATTGATGAGAAAATACGACATTTTATTAAATAAAATAATATTAAATTAAACATAATCAATACTAGACAAAAAACTAAATAATTAGTCTTTTTTAAAAAAAGATTAATCAATTAGTTTAAAAAATGAAAAACTAATTTATAATTTACTCTTAATTATTCCAGCTAACACTTCATTGTTGTTTAGAGACACATTGAACCAAGATATTTTTTCATGTAAAAATTGCTGTTTCGTTGTGTAATATTTCTTCAGATTTAACATGAGTTGGATAAACAGACTGCTTTCCAGGAATTAGATGAGTGCAAATTTCATTATTGATTCGAGATTTAAGTTTTTAATTTATTTTCAAACAAACTTTCATACGAAATTTTATTTCTTACCATCTAACCTTAGAATTTAACCTTGTGAACACTCAAAATAAATAAATAACACACAGAGAATCGCATCAATTTCCTCACAATGATTAAGTTACAAATGCATAAAGCAATTAGAGAAGAGCTGCATTGTTAAATGGATTTTTTATTTGTTTACTTTACACCTTAAACAAAGAATGGTTGACTCCCCATTGCACTCACTAAAACTTTGAAAAGTTCTGGCAAAGCAATGTAATCATAGTTTTTGATTTTGAGTTGGAGTACAATAAAAGAATTTATACCCTCTATCCATAATTCAATTCATAATTCTGCCATTCTGTAATGTCAAGGAACCCATATGGAACCCCATAATTGACTCCAGGGTGTCTGAAGCAAGGATACAACTGGTCTATCTATCAGTTGGAAGCAACATCAGATTGAGCGTCAACACCGGACTTATTGACGCTGGATTTACCATTACCATTGCTATTGATAAGGTTGCTTAAGCGGCCATTGAATTCAACCCCATATATATGTCCCATTTTAGCACGTTTGGTTTCCAGATATCTCTTGTTGTCCTGCGTGATGGAAGTCACTAGAGGAACTCTACCTGCTACTGTCAATCCATAACCCTTGAGACCGATGTACTTTGCAGGGTTGTTTGTCATCAGCCTCATTGTTCGGACACCCAGATCCCGCAACATCTGCAGAGAAATTCTATTAAAATCATGTCATTTGAGCAAAACTAGATGGTGTGACTGTGGAGGTGGTTTGCCACGTACCCTGCCTTTTTGTTGATCCACACTAATTTCTATAAGATATCATGTCATAAGATGGTAAGAGGGCTGGGTTGAAACCAAGTGCCTGAAGCTGATTAAATGAAAAAAGAATGCATCTTTCATGGCAATTAGGTTTTTCTCTTCTTATTATCTTCAGTTCAGCCAATCAAAACACAAGTATTCAAGCGAAATATTTCAGGATTGCCACTTAATTTTAGCCATTCTGGATATCATCAGTGCCTCATCAGGTTGAAATGCAACAACCAAAACGCTTTTAATTTTAATAATGAAATGAATGTACTGCATTTTTTGCAAACCAAAACTGATGATTAATATTTTTGTTATTATGTGTCCTACAATTGGGAGGTTACTGATACAGAGTTTCATTTAATACTATGAAACTAGAATTAAAACCTCTTGATGCAGAACATGCTTCCTTCCCCCTCTAGTTTTGATCATGGAATAAGGATGTATGAAAGCCTAGTTATGAATAGAATGCTTTCATTTTATCTGGTTTAGGAATTTACCTGGGCGCCGATGCCATATTCTCGTGAATCAACGGGTAGCCCCAGCTCCTCATTTGCTTCCACGGTATCGCGTCCATCATCTTGGAGGTTGTATGCTCGAAGTTTATGACCTAAACCAATGCCACGTCCTTCATGCCCACGGAGATAGACCAAAACCCCCTGCCTGCAGCCTCAATCTGCTGCATTGCAAGTGCCAGCTGATTCCCACAATCACATCTAGCAGATCCAAATATATCTCCTGTGAGGCATTCTGAATGTACCCTCACAAGAACATCCAGCCCATCTCCAATGTCACCCTGTTTGGACCAGAAAACTACTTGTTAAGTGTGAAATACATAAAAAATGGGTCGACCTTAGAAAACCTCTATCTAGCAGGAAATACAAAATAACAGTTTGATTCATTTCAATCCGCACAGGGTATTCTGCCTCTCTACAACCAAATACGCACTATCAAATTTCAAGGCCAACTTTTCTCGTTTCAAAAATGAAAAAAATTTAAGACATTCGTCTTTACATTGTCTGCATTATTGACTGAAAGTGAAGCTGTGCATTAGCTAGATTCCAGGAAACCAGATTAGCATGGACTTCCTACATGGTTTAAAGCTCTTTCTTTCCTTTTCTTTTCTTTCAAGAAGCAGTTGCAAACCACAGAAAAGATTCTTTCCAGAGAATCTAATCTTGATCATAATAATTATAACATTTGGATATCATGGGGTTCAGCCGTTTAGATAACTTTTCCAGATCCTATCTCTATAAACCATTAAAACTTGAAAGTGCAAGGTAGCGATGGCAACACAAAAACCTTGTAAGGGTCAGTCTACTGCTATAAGAAAATGAACTAAAACTATTTTACCATGTCCGGTAACATTTACTAAAAAGGGAAGCAAATAGTTTGGATCTCTAAATTATGTTAATTGCTCACCTTAACCATTGCAATATGCTCAATGCCATCTAAGATTGACCTATAACAGTAAGCTGTGAATGGTCCCCACATTGTAGGTATCCGAGCAGCAGAAGAACGTTCTACCAATTTATCAGTCTTCCTTCTATACCTGTCAGTTATAATATTTTTGTTAAGACAGTGCCACAAAATCACATTCGAGCAAGAGAAACTATCCATTTACTACAAAAGTTAGCAGATAAACCCCTGACGCCAATAAAGCTACTTAACAATAATTTCCTTGTACAATGAAGATAACGTAAAGATCCCAAAGAAGAAAGAAGATGGAACACTTTACCTTATTAAATCAGCTATAGATATAACTTTCAAGTTCTCCTTCTGAGCAAATTGACGAAGCTTTGGCAATCTAGCCATGGACCCATCATCGTCTACAACCTCACACAGAACTGCAACAGGTTCCAATCCAGCTAGAACAGCAAGATCAACAGAAGCTTCTGTATGTCCAGCTCTTTTCAGAACGCCACCCTCCCTGTACCTCAATGGAAAAATGTGGCCAGGACGGTTGAAATCATCAGGTTTTGAATCTTTGGATGCTAGAGCTAACACTGTTGTTGCTCTATCATTAGCTGAAACCCCAGTGGTTGTACCATGTTTAGCATCCTTAAAAAAAAAAAAAATCATTTGCAGGCAAAAAACAAAATTGAGAACTGTGCTGGTGTTGTGTAGAAGTACATTAATTAGTGATATTTTTGTTTAGCTACTTATGTCTGAATAAGTAAATTTAAATGATTGACAGAGAATAAATCATAAATTGTAAAGCATTGCAGGAAGTAGAACAATGGAATATTTTATCAGTGAGGTATTTATGTTTCTCCCGAACAAAATCATCACAGAATAAGATAGAAAAATTCCCACTCCCTTTTGCATTTGAACATTTTATATACTTTTCAAATATATCATTCCAGAATGAAAGCATTTTCCAAGCGCAAACAAGGATAGACTGATTAAATGTTAGAAGTTTATATTAGTTCTAGTGAAATGAGAAAATTTCTTATTTCCAGTGAAGTGCAATCCTCACAAATGTTTTGACAAGAGAAACTCAATATTCCACATATGAAATCTCAAATTCAGAAAAGTACATACCACTGTCACAGTAAATGCTGTACGAAGTTTTTCATCATTTTCGTTTTGCCTAACCATCAAAGGAAGCTGTAACCTGTCTAGATCGTCCCCTTGCATGCTCACACAAACTATTCCAGTGCCATGCTTCACAATAAATGCCATAGATTCAGGTGTTGCCAATTCTGCTGCCATGATGAGATCCCCTTCATTTTCTCTGTCTTCATCATCTACAACCACTACAATCTGGAATGCAAGTCAGTAACGAAAACATGAAGTATGAAAAAGCTACAATAAACTGCTAACGAAAAAATGAAGTATGAAAAAGCTACAATAAACTGCAAAGCGAAATGCAGGAAACAACTACCTTTCCTTGACGGATATCTTCAATGGCATCAGGGATGGAAGAAAACCCTTCTGTGGGGCGATCTAATTCACAGTCATCAATACCAACAGCAAAATCGTTAGTGACCGGAGCAGTATCCGCTGATAGGGTTCCTAATGCTATTCCCTCAGGCTGTAAGTCAATCCCAACAGAACCATTATCAAGAAGAGTACTCTTTGCTGCAACACCATTGCCATTGGAATAGGACAGTAGGTCGTCACCAGATATCAGCGTGGCTCGAGTTTTGCAACCACCCTTAATACCAAAACAGGATTTACTACCATCCAGCCGAATCAACGCCAAATTCGATGCAATACCATTTGCAGAAAATGAATTCACGCCATGTAATCCATTGAACAATTTGAAGTTTCTGCATGACCTATACCGGTCAATAATTATTTCAAATATCAGAAATTAACAGTCAGAGCAGTTTGACATCATCACAAATTTCACAAACCAAAACAATAAACTAATCAAACTGCAACAAACATATACTCCATTGGATTGCTAAAGAGTGCCAAAAAAAAAAAAAACTTTGAATTATTAGAAGGTGCTATTCATGTCAACTTGCCTATACAGTCACCAGAATGAGTGGTGAAATTTTTTATTCCTTTCAAGGGATCTAACTCATTACTAACCAAACAATCACTTCAATCCTTTCTTTAACTCCCCTTCCAAAAGTCAAACTTGATGAAAACTTTTTTGATCTAATAACAAAATAAAGAAGAATAGAAAACCCATTTCTTATACACAAATAAGAAATCAAACATGAGGAGTCAACAGATCCGAACACCACTACTATAAATTGCACAAACCAGAATGGAAAACCATTTATCATTGAAAACAAACGTAAATCAAACAAAGGAACCATTAACCTTTTAAAGAGCAAAAGGAATCAAAAGTAGAAAATTCAACATGTTAAACCATTAAAAGAGCCGCCAAAACATCAAAATAATCACCAAAAAAAAAAAAAAACTTACTGTGAACCGGAGAGTGCTGCTCTTGTGGTAGTTGAAGGGCAAGAAGAAACATTAAAAGCCGCCATTTAAACAAACAAAAGCTCAAGATATTATCCTAATGAATCTTTTAAGACAAAAGGGTCTCTCTTTTGCTTGTATTTATATTGAAAAAGGGTAGAGGGGGAGGCAAAATTGAAGAAGGTAAGTAAGAAAGAGAGGCCATGAAGAAGGAAGCAACGGCGAATTGTTGGTACAAACTAACGCCTTTACCCGCAGGTGACATACGTTGTCATGTCACCAACCAATGGTGTTATGCCACGCGTTAATGGTCATTCTTTTCGTTTTTTTTCATTCGGAATTGAGATTTGGAATTTTCTGTTTTTCGGTACATGTTTTGTAAGGAAAGTTAGCAGATTTATTAACTTGTCATAATATTAATTAGTGTACGTTATGATGTCTTTGGTACAGTTTGGGTGCTGCCTAAATTAGTTATAGCATTCAATAAGTTGTCTAAAATTGCTTCAAATATATATATAAAGGGGATTTGGGTGATGCTCAGAGGGATGTACTACTTATCCAAGCAAGTTTTGAATTAGATTTTGGAAATAATAAAAAAAAGAAAAAAAAACATTTGAACAAAATTTCACGATCTTAAAAGATAAGCGCAAAATCTTGAAATTATCGATGAAAACATGTCATCCACTACTAAACATTTGAAATTCTTAAACTAATTCATTAATTTAAATCGTAAATAATGAAAATTTTAATTGGAAAAGAAATCTGATTTGAAACTTTCACCATGGTACGTACATTAAGAATTGTCCACTTTGAAAAATTCATTCCATAATCGTGTTACCGTCATGATAATGACAGTTCAAAATTTTACAACGGATACCTTGATTATTCTAGAGCATATACATGTTCATCATGTGGAACAACTGTTGTTGTAAAAACTCGATAAATTCAATAGATTATTTTAGGTTAGGAAGGCCTAATCGTTATAGATCAAACTTGTCCAATTTTTACAATATAATGACTTGCTGATCACAGATTAACTGTATCTATTGTTTCTTTCTTAAAATCAATATTAGCAATCCAACGATAAATATAATCAGAATAATTATAGAGTTATTATACAATTAAACTCGAACGAACAAAATATTAAATTGAATCGTACTAATATGTATGAGAGATTATTACTATTATTAAGTTATGGAGACTTACAAAATAAAACGTTATACAAATTCAGCATGATAATTTCGTTAACCGAGTTAGCGAGCAGAAATCAAAGAAGCGGCACCCTTTGCGAAAGCTTGGGAGGAGAGTCTTCCAAAAGTTTATAGAATATTATGTCAAATATATAAATTTATTAGGTTTTTTTTATAACTTTAATTGTCCACACTATAAATAGAGATAATATCATTTGTATTTATAGTCGTCACTTGACAAAATTTAATGCAGTTATAGAGTAAGCATTCTTGCCAAACCACATAAAATTCTTATATTATATGATTGTTCTTCTTTTTCTATTTTAATCTTTTACTTGATTTGTTTCTTAACAACTACTACTAATCTTTTTTTCTTTTTCTTTTTTCCTTTTTATATGAAGAAAAAAGCAAGGATAGCATTGATACAAAAATGTGATATATATATTTCTTTTCTCAAGAGAGAAAAAAAAAAAAACAAAAAGGGGGACCAGGCCTTGTGGTGGCAGTTACGTAGACAGGAGAATGCTTGTGCAAATGGGGCTAGCAGCGACAAGCTCTTTCTTGTATTATCAAGAGCAACACATGAAAATGTGGCCACGTAATGTGATGAAATGGCCACCACATGCGATGGTATAATTCAAGGTAGGACCACCGCTGCCATGTCGTGAGTTCAACAAAAAAGGTTCCCATTCTTCACGTTTGGATAATTTCTGAGGTGGAATTCTAAGAAATATTTGGCCAATCATAGCATCTGTGACCTAGCAATGTCCTTAACAAGTGATCCAATCATCTCATATCGTATTCAAGAAGGTCGACTTAAATAAAAGAAATTTTAATTATTTAAATAAGTAATTTAGAATTTAAGTTTTTATGTATATAGAAAATAAAAATTTTTTGAAAAACTATTTTCACCTTATATGTTTTAAAATAATAAAAAATTAATTTTAAATTTTAAATCTTCAATACTTTTAATGATAAAAAATAATTAGATAGAAAAGGGTATGAAAATAGTGGTCTTTGAAAAAGCAAAGAGCACAAGACAAGAATAATTAGACAGAAAAGGGTATGAAAATGGAAACGTGGGATTGGACTTTGAATAATTGGATTCGTGTCCCTATCCACTGAATGGAATGTGGCCAATAAAGAAGAAATGGTCATTGGGTGACCCAAAAATCATGCCGATTCGAAGGATAGTTGCAAGAATTATTTTCATTGATTAATTTAATTTAATTTGACTTTGACCACTACTTTCTTCCTCTGACAATATTGCTTTTAGACCTCTTGGATGTAAGAGGTTATTGTTTGTATTTTGAAGATGAGCTAAACGGTTGAAATTTTTTGAGAATGAGTTTATTAATTTTAATTTCAATTCTCTCTTTAACTATTTTTATTTGAAATCGAGTTTTTTTGTTTTTTTTTTAGGTTTTCATGGATTCTAATATGTATATTCAAATAATAAAAAATTAAAATATATCAAAAAATTTTATATTTCAATTCTCTCTTTCAAACTTATTCTTTACTTTTAAATGCTAGAAAGTAATTAATTAAAAATATATTAGAAGAAAGGAATAAATTTGAGGAATAATTTCATGAGTTCTGAATATGTTTTTAATTATCAATTCTCTACTGTTAACTATGTATAATCACCTGTATTTATGTTGTTACAATTGATAATAAAAAACTTAATTTTAAATTTTAAATAACTTCAATACTTTTAACTCGAAATTAAAAATTATTGACTGATTCTCAAATGACTAATATTCATGACAATTTTTAGACCATATAATCTTTAGGATGTAAGAGGTTACTTGGATCTGATGATATTTGAAGATGGGCTAAACGGTTGAAATATATTTGAGAATGAGTTTAAATTAATGTTTAATTTCATATTCTCTCTTTAACTATTTTTATTTGCACAATCGAGTTTGTGATTTAAATAAGATTAATCGAACTTCTAATATTGAGTAATATTTAATTACCAGTTACATCACAATTAAAAAAACATGTCAAAACTTATATATGTTTTTTGCTTTCAAAACTTATTCTTTCTCTCAAAACGGAAAATGCTACTAATACATACAAGTACATCCGAGACCACTTTTACTACTATAGTTTCAAATAATGAGAACTATCTATAGTTTCATTAAAAATGAACTATTTAAGCAGAATAAATGACACATTTTGCTTACGTTTTTTTATCATAAGATGGTGCTAAGCTTAATCTTGGGGTGTCATTTTCTTCTGAATTCAAGAGATGCATTGAACTTCAACTATACATACAATAATGTTCAATCAATCATTTTGTACTTTGTCTGCTTTATTTTTATTGTGATTGAGATTATCCAAAAAATGTCTTGACACGACACGCAATGATTTTATCTAACAAGAATCAAGATTGCTTGTGCTAATTAGTATTGAAATCCTAAAGCATATTAAATTAATCAAATATAAGTTCCAACCTAGCTAGTTAATTGGATGATTTTTTACTTCCTACAGGATCTTTGATAGCCATCTTTTTGTTCTTGCTAGATGCTGATTTATTTAAATATTATTATTTGTATTTTATAAATTTTAAAAAATAATATAATTATATTTTAAAACCTCATATAATAAATTGATTTTAAATGAATTCGAATCTTACTGTTTTCATTCTCTCTAACTGTATAATAATAATAATAATAAATTTATACAAGTTTTATATATTAAAAAACCTTTTATTTTAAAAAGTATATTAAAAAATAATATAAATTATATTTTAAAGTTTCTTCCAACAATTTAATCTTTTGAATTAAAAACTACACAAAAACATACCAAAGAACAAAATGTTGATTTTAGTGTGCGTATGTATGTATCCGTCATAATCGCAAAGTGCAACACTACAATTACTTTCAATATTTGACTAAGCATCTCTTATACATGCAAATATGCAAATATTCATACATTTTCATGATTCAATTTCTAACTACATATATATATATATATATAAAATTGTAAAACTGTAGTATGACAAGGAATTTATTACTGTTTTCATATAAAAATTATCCACTGAACCAAAGTAAAAATATTGTGCATACTGCATAATTGAGGGAACTATAAAATATGAACCGTTACATATTCAAGTTTGAGGCTAAAAATAACATAGATTTTATCGCTTAATAAGAATTAAAGGGTTGGAAATTAATTAGAAAAATTGAAAAAGTTGGAGGACTTTTGACTTGTCTACACACAGATTATCAAAACATTCAGGCCGAATGCAGAAGCAATTTTCATATGATGGGTCAATCAACCGTTAAATATATTCCATCTTTTACTGTAAAAATATATTTTTTCGTATGTAGTTGTCACTATATTTTGAGAAGTTCTGTTTTGAAGGTTTCATAAAGGAAAATCCTAAGCCTATGGGCTATGGCAGGGAAACTTGCACGTTTAGACTTTAGAGTTTCATCGCAGTGTTCAACTGGATTTTTATATATTATAGTTAACAGAACCTAAATGTCGAAATTGACGGTAAACCCAAAATACAACAAAAAGGAGAAAAGTTAGAAGTTGAAGGACTTTTGGGTTTCGGCTTTTACTCATGGCTTAATATACCATTAAATGAAGAAATTAACACGTTTTAATTATTTTTAATTATTTTGATATGTTCTTTCAATGTTGGGTAGAAATACATGAACTAAGATTTCAATAACGATGTTATCACCCTATTTTTACCCCATAAAAAATATAAAAAAGAAAAAAAAACGAGGGAACTAGGCCTAGATTAGGCATTGGGTTAGGCCCGGTTAATAATAAAAGACGAAAATTAGAATAAAAATAATCTTAGGTTAACCTTAGAAGCACCCCTAAAAATACTAGGTATACACACACACTAAAAAAAG